TTATTTTTCTTTAATTTTATTATATGTGCGGGGGGGGGGGCAAGATGAAATCAAGAAGATAAATGTCGATTAATTACTTAAAAGAATAAATGCATAAAGGGGTATGTGGTGTATGGGTATGGGTATGGGTATTACATCTGGCAGAAATAAAACAAATAGAGACGAAAAGAGTGCGACAACAGGGGAAAGTTGAATGAAGAGGAGAAAGAAAATAGGTGCAGTTTCTCGCCTCCTCCCCTTGCCATCATCGGCCTCTCCTTTCCTTCGGTCTTCGTCCGTCCACCATCATTATCATTCATCGTGTGTTGTCGTGGTTTGCGCCTTCTCTCCTCCACGATCTCCGCAACTCCCGCCATTAATCATACATGCCATCCTCAACATGAGCCTGCAACATCGGGGGAATAAAAGAGTGTTGGGGATGGGTTAAGGTAAGTGAAGGACATAAACAAAAGGAAGTCGAACAACCAGAGATCTATGTATCGTTTTTCGCATCAAGCCGCCAGCATCCAGGGGAAAAGCGTTAAAGCCAAACGCAAAAAGGCATCAAAAAGGAATTTAGGAACAGGGACAGGAACAAAAGTTAAATATCAACACGCTCAAAAAACTCAATCATAAAAGGCCAAAAATGAGCAAAAACTGGAATAATCGACGTGAGATGTAAGTATAAGCAGAATGCCACCACCGGTTAATTTTTTGGTCTTTTTTGTTTCTTAGATTTTGAGTGCGGTTGTGCCGCCATATATTGCGGTATATATCATCAATTCTTCGTAGTGAACGTTGGAACGGGTTAAGGAAAACGTCAACATGAGGCCATAGTTGAGACATGAGCGAGTGCTATTTCTCTTCTCATCTATCAACCTCCCCACACTGCCATCGTTATCATTCATGGCGGCGGGGGCGGAGGTGGAGGCGGTGGGGGCGGAGGGCCAGCATCAGTCTTCTTTACCGCCTTTGAATTAGCCCTCGGCTTCACCTTTCCGCCAGTCATCCATTTAGCAAATCCACCAGGCGCACCAGGACGTATCACCTTCTTTGGTGCTGGAGGTGGAGGTGGAGGAGCAACGTCCACAACGACGACGGGCTCTTCCTCTGGCGGTGGAGGAGGTGGTGGTGGGGGATCCGGCTCCTTGGGTTTTTCAGGCATGGGCCACATATGCATGCTTACGGTCCAGTCAGGTTCAACAACGGTGTCCCAGACCTGTGGTAAGATAATGTCGCCGTTGGGGCCGACTAGGTCATAATGGCCGTCTGCAACATGTTGGCCGATTAGGTCGACATGCAGGAATGCTTGGCGGATAAGCTCTTCCATTCCCTATATTAATTTGATGTTAGTATTCATGCGTTGGCAGAAAGGGAGGTCTGAATTAGATTCCAAAAATAAGACACTTACCTGCCATGTCTTGCATAAGTCATAGGGGAACTTAAACTTCCTACCTATCGCATCTTTAAATTGAACGGGTTTCTTTGGCGGCGGTGGCTTTTTCAATGCAGCCTCGGTTGCTTTTGCTGCTGCTTCGGCAGCCTTGGTATCTCCTGCAGCAGTAGCAGCCGCCGTAGCCTCTGCTATAGCGATGGCAGCTGCCTCCTCGGCCTCTTTCTTTGCAGCAGCGGCCGCTTCTTCTGCATCCTTCTTTGCCTTGGCAGCTGCAGCCGCAGCCGCCTTTTCTGCCTCGACCCTGGCTTCTTCCTTTGCAGCAGCAGTAGCAGCAGCAGCAGCATCGGCGGCAATCTTCTTCTCTTTAGCAGCGAGAGCCTCCGCCGCAGCCTTGTCAGCAGCAGCTTTCTTAATAGCAGCTTCACGAGCAGCGTCACGCTCCTCTCGCTCTTTTCTCTCCTCGATGATCAACTTCTCAAGTCGGGCAATTGCTTCATCTTTTGGGTCTGGCGGTGGAGGCTCGGCGGGAGCGGGGGGTGGAGGGGGAGGTGGCGGTGGCGGCGTTGGTGGAGACGGGCTGGGACTCTTACTCTTTTCTTTCTTAGCCGGGCTAGGTTCACGGGCCTGAATTTGGAAGAAGGGCGGAGGCGGGAACATAGCTGGAGGTATGTGAGGATACCGCTGTATATACTGATAGTATGCAGCTGCAGCCGCAGCGGCTTGGGCCTGGGCTTGGGGATGGCCGTGTCCATGCATCATAGGATGGTGGGGAAGAGTGTGCGGGTAGCCGTAGGGTACCATCTCCGGCGATATATAAGGCGGTGTACCGGGGAATGATGGGGGATGGCTCATGACTGGATGAGCCATGGCAGGCTTTGGTGAGTCCTCTTCATCGTCCGGTGAGCCGCTGCGGGATCGATGTCGAGGAAGATGGGCATGTGGGTGGTGTGGTGGGTGGATGGGGTGGTGAAGTGGCATGCGTTGAGCGGCATGCGGGTGAGGATGTGGTAGTCCATCTGGACCGGTGTAGTATCCGTGAGGGAGTTGCTGATGCCCCTGCGGAGGCGGATAGTGCCCGCCGTAGGGGTACTGTTGATGTGAGTATTGACCCATGTGTCCTGCTACAGGGTTCTGATGGCCCATGGGTCCCAATTGAACAAGCTGAGTTGAAGGTCCCCCAGGATGAGCATGAGCATGTTGCGCCTGGGTGAAAGACGGGGGTGGTGGAGGCTGTTGGTGCGGCGTGTATGGATTGAATGATGGAGCAGATGACGCTGGGCCCTGTGTTGGAGGTGCTGGCCAGAACCGTCTATCAGCCGGGTTTGGTGCGTAGTCTAGATAGTCGTCCTCGTCGTCCTCTTCTTCTTCTTCGTCTTCCTCCTCCTCTTCGTCTTCTTCTTCCTCTTCAGAAGAGTCTGGTTCAGGTGATACGGGGACCGGAGGCGGCTGAGGGGGTGCCGCTCGGGCGTGTTGTCTTCTTGACCTGTGGGAAGGCACCGCGCGGGCTTCTTGGACCTGTGGGTGAGGGTGTTGGTGCGCGTGTGGGTGCGCACGAGGGTGGGGATGCTGACTCTGGTGCTGGTGCCGCCTCGATGAACGATGGCGGGGTGGTCGAGGATCGACTGGTTCGCGCAGCCTGTTGGATGTGCGTGGTCGTGAAGCCGAATCGGACGGCTTTAGCTCGTCAGGATATTGGAGATGAGACCAAGGTCCTCCGACTCCGTAGTCTTGATATTCGTGGCTTGAAGTGGACGGCAGGGAGACCTGCTCGCCTGTTCCAGATGAGTCGTCGTCACTGAATGAATGGTCAGAACCGGGCGTGGCACGTCGGTTCAATCTGAAGAGGAGGGATCAGTATACGCTTTGACCGAAAACAGAGGACCAGGTTGGAGTCTCACGGCATGGGACGATTGCGGCGGAAGAGGAAGTATCCGGCCAGATCTCTCCACCGAACGGAATGATCTGGGAGAATATATCCTCAATTTGAAAGCCCAACGGCAGGATAATTGAGGTAGCAACAAGGTCGAGGTCGAGTGGTGGCAGAGCAGGAGGATAAAACCGTTTGACTTGAGGGTTCAAGGATGAAACAGGACCTCGTTTTGTCGGAAGTCAATATATATATATCCGTTATTCCTGGGGTATCCGATTTCAACATGAATCCAACCAGGGTTCGAGGATATTATATAGTCCTAAATGGTGAGGCTTGGCTGTTCGACAATTAATACTAGTCGGTATCACCAATGAAGGGCGAAAAGAGAATACTCGGTCTAGATATGTGCGCCTGAGCTGTCGTATTAGTGACCGAGTTGACTATATATCATTCAATGAAGACGAAAAGCAAGCGGCGGATAGCGGGAGGTAACCAATTTAAGTAAAACAGAAGAGAGAGAGAAAAAAAGAAAAACGAGGGCGAAGGGCAAGGCGGGCCAGGCCAGGGTGAAGACGCACAGGTGGGGAGCCTGTTTTTTTTTTTTTTTCCTTCCCTTTGGTCTTCTTCTTTGCTGCCCAATCTGCAATCATCAATGACGACTGCAGGATAGGCAGGGCAGGGCATCCTCTAGATGAGCTGTAACAAGGAGCAAAACCACACAAGGGAGGCGGCTAAACAGAGGCTCATCGATGCATTATGTGGGTGATGTATACATATACGTAAATCATGAGCTATTCTTACTTACCTTTCCGATCTAGATGGTTTGATGTGCCAGGTTTCGGTGGTTTGCCTTGCTTGCTGGCGGGGGGAGGTCGCTGTCTTCTGGTAGGGCAGACGTAGGTTCGCCCAACCCAACGGCGGAGACCGACCTAATGGGTACCCAGCAGCCCAGCTGGAGCCTTCTCGGGGCGGTGCAGGTCGATTACAAAGAGGGAACTTGAAGAGAAGCGGAACTTGAGGGGGAAAACAAGAAGAGAAGAAGTAGAAGAAGAAGAAGAAGAAGACGACGAAGTTGAAGTTGAGAAGTTGATGTTTACTTCGCCCGATCGGGACAGGTCATGTGGTCTGCACAGACTTACATGGAGGAAGAAGACATTAAGACGATGATATAAAAGAAAAGATATAAGATGGTATCAGATGATTATACGAGAAGACGATAGAAGAATATAGAAGAGAAGAAGATATAAGATCAAAATATAGAGAGAGTGCTAGCTACTCCGTACTCGAGTGACGTGCATGCAGCTGTCACCTACGCAGCTAATAAAGGCAGATTCCATACATACATACATATACATACACGGTCAGCGCTCGAGGAGTCATAGAGTATATGTAAGTCACCGCCAGAAGCCTTGCAGTGAGGCTGCCGGCGAGAAATGAGACGTGAGGTACATCCCCCTACCACCAAGGCCCGGCCCCATACCTGCCATGTACTATGTACATACATACCTCGAAGAGCCTGGAGACAGTGACTGACTGTATATTGCAAGAAAGATGAAAGATGAGATCCCCTTGCCGGAGTCTTTGACAGGTCTAATCCTACTTGGTGTTGAACTTGTCGATACGAGCAAACAATATATTGCTACGGCACCAAGAGGTAGACTATTGACAAAAGAAAAGAAAGTCATATCCGAACTGAAAATACAAATATTTAGTGTTTACACGGAGAATCCATTACGTCAATATTCGATATTTCCCCATACTCAATTGATATATATACGGGCTGACGGGGAAGAAGGCGTTTCTATTTCTTCAGCCAAAAACCCCTGACTACCATCTGCTTTTTTCACCCCCTTCTACAAGATGGGATGATACAGTCCATCGCAGGCCCTGTGGTGCCACGTCATACCATTTAACGCTGCGAATCTGGTGTTGGATGCCCTGGATTTCTGGTCTTGTTCCCCTTCCGCAGGGCATGGCTGCGTGCCTGCTTCAATGCTCGTTATTTGGTAGCCTGCTCACTTCCGACTGGGGGGTTCCAGTGGTCATTTTCTCCCTGTTTCGCCTGTCAGGTGAGGATATAAGAGACGCCAAAAGAGACAAGCTGATGGGTAGGGTACGGATAGCCAGCTGTGTTTGAAACAAGCCATGTCGATGGCTGGAACTTGGTATTTTGCGGGATGTGCCGTCGATCAGACCCTGCTTATTTGTATAATACGTCTCCCTTGCGTACTATGTATGGAGCATACTATGTATATACATAGTAGTATGTGGTTGGCCATGGACAGCTACATAGTACATACATATGCTGGGACAAGGCCAGCTCTGGCATTGGAATGTCTCTACGCTCATCAATGCGTCTAGACTCGCCTCGATATAAAGATCGACGAACACATAGTAAGACTGGTATCAGAAGCCGGGACAACGCAACCAGTGCATCGCCAACGAGACCACATACACGTATAGTTTGCTGAATTAAGTCTGACTGCTACCATTAGAACCGGATAAAGACAAACATGGTTTGAGTATTCCTATTTCGCCGACATCAGACCAAAGGGATGAAAGAGATTGCATGATGGCGGAGAAGGATGCATTAATATTCTATATCTTCTAGACAGCTCATCAACTCGACTTGGACAGCCGGTCAAGCAGTGCCTGGGCAGCAATGAGTTCACTCTCGTTGAACTCAGGGCTTACTCCCGCCTCACACCTCTCCTTCACGATCTCACGCAGCTTCCGTATCGACAGATCGTGAAGCTTCTGCGTCGTCTCAGGAGTTGGCAGCATATCGTCCCGTCTAGACTTTGGTCCCAGCCTCTCCAAAAGGCGGGCAGTGCTCTAGAACAAACAGGGTAAGCGGAATTGGTCAAGGGTGGTGGCTCAGGTACGACATACCAGGTTCAGACCGTAGTACCCGCGCAGATAATCGTCGCAAAGTTCAATGCTTCGACAAAACCGTCGTACAGACTCAGCCAGGGTTCTCAATGTTGTCTCTGGAGCCTCGGATGAGCTGGTAGAGATATATTGTAGTTCTCCTAACCTGGCGTGGAGCTAGTATTTCCGTTAATTGCGATTAAGTTCAATAAATGCACATAGTATAGGATGCGCCCTTACATTCCATGCATTCGGCAGGATGAGAAGTGCCTCTTCGAGACAGAATATAGACTGAGAAGCTAGCCCTTGGCTGTGATATAAGTCTGATAGTTCGCACCACGCCTCAGCATCCGTTGGAAATGCATCGAGGAATTCAACAAGGCTTGAAATCGCGTCTGTATGTCTGGATAGGGACCGTAGAATCGCAATACGTCTTTTCAACACCGGCTATATAGAAGTTAGCAAGCCCGCCCTCTGTGGAAGACTTCCTTTGCTGAAAAGAGGTGTAAATACTCACAACATTCACCGGATTTTCCTTTAGAATGGTGTCATATCTACTCAATACCTGTTTCAAAGCCGCCTCGTCCGCCGCAGTCGCCTCGTCGTATAGTCCGCGCAATCCCATCACTCGCTCATTGTCCTCCCCGAACCGGGAGGAGAGCCTGTCCAGACACTCCCGCGCAGACTTGTCGTCTCCCGTCCGTAGACAGGCAGCCAGCAGCTGTTCATAGCTCGTCCATAGCTCCGGTGTTTCTTTCTGGGAGAATATCGAGAAGGGAAAGGAAGGGAAGCGAGACGGTTGGCTTTGGAGGAACGAGGGAGCTTGCTGCGAGAGACGGAGGGAGGCCTGGGGATCAGACGAGCTCAAGCCCAGCTGTGCGTGAAAGAGAGATTTGGCCATCGCAGGTATATCCTATCTATGTATTAGCTGGTGCAAGTATATATATATAATCGATATCAATCAACTCACTGGCGATGTACTTTTGGTTCTGGCGTTGCTAAGGAAAAAGCGGCGAAAGGTGACGTTTTTTTTTTGAGCGCTATTAGAGGTTCACGAGATAAGTTCAGCAACAACTTGTGACCTTCATCATTATCGACGCTGAACCGTCTAAGGGAGAGAGAGAAAAAATACAGACACAGTTTGAAGCTCTTTTGCTCGCTGTTCTTTTCTCCAGAGACAGAAGCTTGAGAGTTGTGTCAGCTAGCTATGAGATAGAAAAAGACCGCCTATTTAACTAACAACTCGACCATCCCACCACAGCTCACCCGACCCCCCGGCGGGATACACAACAGCCTTCTAGCTACTACTATTCTAGCCGTTGGTGATACTGCGGAGGCAGTTCCATCGCCATGTTAGTTACCTCTTCTTTGAAGATTTACGCTGCAGCTGCTGATATGTTTGTGCACAGGTTCGAAAAATCGCTATATGACCTCATCCGAGGCCTGAGGAATCATAAGGGAAGCGAGGGTGAATATATCCAGAACAGCTTGAAGGAATGCCGGGCAGAGATAAAGTCACAGGATATGGGTTAGTCGACTTGTTCAGTCTTGTTGCCCTGCTTCTGGCGGGCAGGCCGTATGCGCGCGTGTGTATACAGAGGCTGACCGTTTATTCAAGACAAGAAGGCAACTTCGCTATTAAAGCTCATATACCTAGAGATGTTTGGTTATGACATGTCATGGGCGTCCTTCCATGTACTTGAAGTCATGTCTTCTCCAAAGTTCCATCAGAAACGTGTTGGCTACCTCGGAGCCGTGCAGAGCTTCCGGGTCGACACAGAGGTCCTGATGCTCGCAACAAATCTGTTGAAGAAGGTTAGGGCGTATACCGGACATATCACTGCTTCTACGGCTCTTCCGGTTTGCTGATATGATGGCTTTTCAGGATATTGTGTCCGCTCAGGTCCCGACGATGTCCCTACCTCTTATAACTCTTCCACATATTATTTCGCCCTCCCTTGCGCTATCGCTGCTATCAGATCTTATACCACGCTTGACCCATTCTCATGCCGTTATTAGGAAAAAGACAGTTGTGAACCTTTACCGGCTGTCGTTGGTATATCCGGAGGCATTCCGGATAGCGTGGCCAAAAATGAAAGAAAGATTAATGGATACGGAGGAAGACGGCAGTGTCACGGCCGCTGTTATCAATGTCGTTTGCGAACTGGGTTGGAGAAGACCACAGGATTTTCTGCCACTGGCACCACGGCTCTTCGAGCTACTGGTTGATGGAGGGAACAACTGGATGGCTATCAAGATTATCAAACTTGTAAGTTTCTCTCTCCTACTTAAAAGGCTCAGGAGCTAATGGGACTATCGCAGTTTGCATCGTTAACTCCATTGGAGCCACGACTGGTTAAGAAGCTTATAAGGCCTCTAACCAACATTATGCAAACTACTTCGGCCATGTCTCTATTATATGAATGCATTAATGGGATTATCCAGGGTGGTATTCTCGACGGGGTCGAAGGGATCCGTGAAGGAGAAGCCATTGCGCAGTTATGCGTTGACAAGCTTCGGGGCATGCTTGTTCTAGAGGAAGACCCTAACCGTAAGCTGGCCCTTAGACGTAAATTGAACATAAAGTGAATATACACTAACAGGATGACAGTGAAATACGTTGCTCTCCTTGCCTTCAACAGAATTGTCACGACTCACCCGATGCTGGTTTCAGCGCATCAAGATGTAATAATGGGGTGTCTCGACGACAACGACATATCCATCAGACTACAGGCCCTTGAATTAGTTTCAGGGATGGTAGCTAGTGACTCGTTACAGCCTGTAGTAAACCATCTGATTACCCAGCTGCAAACCTCTTCTACAATCGCGGAGGGCCCTACTGCCACTACATCACTCCTTGCACATATTACCCCTTCCGCAGATCTGGAGGGTGATGACCCTGAAGAACACTTAGAACTAGCCAGGCAGGACAGAATGTCTGCACCTCCTCTTCCAAACGAGTATCGTTTGGAAGTTCTCCACCGGATTCTGGATATCTGCTCGCGAGATACATATTCTAACCTTACCGACTTTGAGTGGTATGTGGACGTTCTCGTGCAGTTAGTCCGATTAATTCCGCCAGCTAGTGCCTCCAAAACCAACGACGAGCACTCCACTAAGAACGCCCACGATCAGAGAACTGATATATCGAATCGAATTGGCACGGAGCTGCGCAACGTTGCTGTAAGGGTCAAGAGTGTACGGGCCGAGGCAGCTCGTGCGGCGGAAACATTGGTGCTTATAGATAATCGAGCAGCGCTATTCCCTTCATCTGGCACCTCGAGCACAAATCTATTAGAACCTATTGCTTGGATAGTTGGTGAATATGCCGAGTATCTACGTTTCCCGGACCAATCACTCTCTTCTCTAATACACCCTTCCAACCTAAGTCTTTCCCCCAAAGTTCTTTCGGGATATATACAAGCGATTCCCAAAGTTTTTGTTCAACTCACGTCTGGGTTCTATGACTGGGACATAAACAAGCAGAGTCATGTGTCCCTGTTACTAGCCCGGATTACAGATTTCTTGGAGAAACTCTCCTCTCATCCAGAGTTGGACGTGCAAGAACGAGCTATTGAGTTTCTAGAGCTATTACGCCTGACAAAGGAAGCGGTATCAACATCAGATGTTGACTCGGGAAGTGTGCCGTTGCTCGTATCCTCAGCTATTCCAAGCTTGTTTACCGGCTTGGATCTCAACCCTGTAGCTGCTGGAGCACAGAAGAAAGTCCCGATTCCAAGTGACCTTGACCTAGACCAACCGATTAATCCTCGGTATATCCACATCCAGCGTGAGTCAAGCAATGGCTGGTTTGATTCCTTCAACCACGATGAATGCTATCAATTTTACCACATACCGGACTCAACGTCGTTCGTTACCAAGCCTCAAAGGGAGACTCTATCGCCTACCACACTCCAACCAGCATCATATCAGAATACTTCCGAAGGACTACTACCCGAACCTACAGAGGTTGTCACTAGAAGGCGGATGGCAAGGAGAGAGCGCAACAAAGATGATCCATTTTACATCAGTCTAGGACACGGAGAAGGAGAGTCCTCAGATGCAGCCACACCCTTTAACCAAGCTCTTCGTGGTGCAAACGAAGAAGATCTGGATCTAGATTCGATTCCAATTATTGACCTTGCCATAGATCAACACAAGTCTGAGAAGGCAGATACCCAAAAGGCCCGCAAACCAAAACGCAAAGCGAAACCTAAGAAAGTTGAGATTATAGGGGACGAAACCCTTGAGTTTGATAATCCAATTTCTCCGCCACCTACTCTTAAACCTAACACCGCATCAGCTGCAGCTGCCAAAACAAAGAAATCTCTATTGGAAGTCGACTCAAGTGGACTAGGGCAATTGTCTCTTGAGGAAGATAGCGGTCTAACCCCTGGTGTTGGTGATATAGCGAGAAAGGAGGCAGAGGATGCAGAAATGGTACAGGCGATGGCCGAGATACAGAGATTACGTTTAGAAATGCAACGGGAAGCGGAGCGAGTTCATGCAAGCCAAGACGTCCCTGCCGAGGGTAAGATGATAAAGAGGAAGAAGAAGAAGAAAGTTGTATCATCTAAGAAGACCAAAGCTAGCTCCCAGGAAGCAGAGGGCGAGGCGTCACAGCAACAGGATACGGTGGGCGACCAAGGGGAAACACCTGTGGTGAAGAAGAAGAAGAAGAAGAAGAAAGTAGTAGCGTCTCAAAAGGCGGTACCAGTGCAAGAGGAAAGCAAGGAATAGTAGACTGCCATCAGGATGGAGTTCGGTTTTATCAACTAAGGACTTTTTGGTTCTTTATTTGCATAGGCGGGTGTTATGCATCTCTTGAAAGGATGATGGTCAACTTTGTGGATATGCATAATAGATGACATATTTTTAGAGCTACAAAACTGCATATAGCTAGAGATATATTTAACGTGGATCTAATATGTCTCTAGAAACAGATACTTTCCAGCAAGAAAAACCCGGTTGTATTCAAGACCGAGCATTATCAGCCCCCTTTTTGAAGAGACAGATGTTAAAAATACAAAAGAATGAGAACCTTTGAATGAGGAAATTAGAGCATAACTATTGACAGTAGAATGGAAAAATGTTTGGTTAGAGGAAGAAGGTAGATAACAGAAGAAGCTATAAGCCTATAAATTTAACTGGTCCATTGGGTGATAAATCTAGAGAAATAACCCCATATTTCGGGGATGACCCTGGCTAATTCAAAAAAGATACCACCACATAGGACGAAAAGCAGTAGAACTGTTGCGGTACCGAGGTAGTTAGCAGATATCCCGTAAAAAACATCTTCCTCTCGGAGGTGTAAAGCCGTAATAGGGGATGAGAGCGGTGTATAGTCCCACGGATGCGAAATGGTAATATCACGTACCAACCCAGCCCATAGATAGAGGAGACTTTGCTTTTTGTTTCGGCTTGGTCACCACCTCAGGTTTTCCGCGTTTGGAGGCTTCTTTTTTGGCAAATCTCTCGTTCGCCCTTCGCTGTTGGGGAGTCTGTGGAGCCTAAATATTTCAATTAAGAACAAGTTAATAATTGCATAGTTTGAGCAGTAAGCCTGTACTTGGGGTTATTCCGTGCTAGCATACCATTTTGCTATGAGTTGATCTAGATAATAGAAGGTCAGGGGTGGTCGTCTGATTTGTTTTATTAGGCGGGTTTTTTTTCCTTTTCGATGACTGGCGCGCAGGTAGGACGCAGAGATATTATAAAGGTAATATATCGATGGGTATTTCTCGATTCCTGACGGACGGCGTATATATATCACTGGGAGTAGCGTAAACTGGCCAACTGTCCTCTGGGTTGATGACTTGTGGATTCTAGAAAAATCTCGAGTGAATGGAGTTCAAGGCTGTCTGGCAACGATCTGAGCTGGACAGATATAGGTAGGGAATCTCCGAGCAATTGAGTCACAAGCAGGGCTGTTTGGTCTAGTTCCTCGCTGTGATGCGCCTTTGGATATTGAAAATGAACACGAGAGCAACTTTCATGATGTCAGTTGATTATGTCAGCCAAATGATTATGTCATCTTGCCAAGGCCTTTTTGCTTTTTCATATTTGTGGAGAAAGTTTTGGAAAAGAAGAAAACAAGATGAAAACAACATAGCTTCACATAACTTGCATCCGGGGCTGTCCGAAGAGGCTTCTACTGCTCATTACTTTGCATAAGATGGCTCAATTCATGCGACGGAGCTACAGCAGCAGCTCCAAACCAACCTCACCTCATGTACGTAACTACGCCCCCCAATTAAAACGTGACTTGAAGCTCACTAGCTGATATATTTAGGTCATGGTCTACAAGAACTTCGGTCGCCCCTTTTTGAAGATCTTTATAGGGTCATTAGTCTGCTATCAAGCTGCTTATTGGGCGTGGAACAAGCTAGAGAGGGAAGACATGGTTCACCGTAGTGGAAACGGTACGATATCTCTATGTCTTGCTTCAATAGATAAGCTTCCCATGTTCAAATGCTTATATCAGAGCTCTTCTTCATTAGCAAAATCCACGCAATCACCAACGGATAGATGATCTCAGGAAAGGAAAGCTGTCTTGCATTTGCTGTGCAATTAGATACCCTCGGAGCTTACTTGCCGTGAAACAGGGGCTTATCAATTGAACATTTTACGTGTATAACGGATTACAGGATGCCCCGTTTGGGGAAATAGCTATTGTGGGTGATATCTAGCTCAAAAGAAAGGGGGGAAGCTGGACTGGGCACATACTTCTGGGAGTTTTTACGGACCAAGGGAAGAACAGGGCTGCCTAGCCGTTACAAACCACCAGCTACGCAATCACGAACGTCACGCGCCATCTATGAGCCTTGCTTGATATCAAATTCTGCTGTATATGTTGATCGGCCAGGCCTATCCATTTTGATGTAATGAAGGGATTATATGATACTATTACCTGGTCCTACCGGAACTAGCATCAACGGTGACTCGGTGATTAGGTCTAGACCGTAGTCTGAAGTTCTACGACTGGCATTCATTTCTTCGAATACTGGCGTAAGCCGGGCCATTGGCGGATCAGTTTATCATTAGTTGATACATATTTTCTTATCACCACCGCATATGTGTATATACTAGTGGCCTATTGATACAAGTCGAGTTCTTTTAATTTGACTTTACAGGGATAAGGACGAATCTAACTTGATATTGAGCAACTGTCGACAGGCCTAGGATTCATCAATGTCACATCAGAGCTAACGGGAAGACGGAAATCAAGCTGTCTTGTTGTTCAATCTGTCTACTACGTCCTTGGGAACATACGATGGATTGAACTGTGCGACGCCAGCACAGAGCTCCTTGACCTGAGGCACCTCTCCAAGCTTGTTCCACCACTTCTGGAAGTTGGGGAGCTCAGAAAGCTGCTGGGAGAACCACTCGTCTCCGCCAATTCTCTTTGCCCAGTAGAACCACGGGGCCAAGCAAAGGTCAGCATATGTCATCTTACCGCCAACGAGCCACTCCTTGTCTTTGAGTCCAAGATCTACAACACCCATGACACGACGAGTCTCGGCAGCATATCTGTCAATGGCAGACTGGAACTTCTCGGTATGGTACCATTTGAACCCTATAGAACACAGCAACCCGTCAGCCATCGTACTAGCAGGAAGCAACATGGATAAGGGAGAAAGCGCATACACGAGAATTGGCCGATATACGGGCCTTGTCCGCTGACTTGGAAATGAAGCCACTGCCTCAGGTGATACTTCTCAGGCATCGAAGAGAAAGAGATGGTGTTCTCCTTGTCATATTCATCGATCAGATATTCGACAATTGCACCGGATTCCCAGAGATAGAGGCCAGTGTTTGGGTCATGGATGGATGGGCAACGGCCGTTGGGATTGATGGCAAGGTACTCGGGCTCCTTGCACTGCCTGAAGTCGGTAGACTTAAGCTCGTAGGGGATGTTGAGGGTTTCGAGGATGATGGCGACCTTTACGGGGTTGGCTGTGGGGAAGATGCCGTAGAGCACCAACGGCTTGATGTCTCGGGGAGCCATTGTGAGTGTAGATGTTGTTATATATGCCGTTAACTGGTTGCACTTGAGATGGGCTCTATACTGTATCTTCCTGCCAGCACAACCTGGAGTTCGTCCTCTTTATAGATGTATAGAACTCCTCAGCCCCTCCATCCCGCCCCCCAGCCCGCGGCCTCCCCACAGCGGCCCTTCGCGGTCGAATCTGCTATTGGATACTTATATATCATCATAAGACGATTAAAACTGGAGATACTCCGCGTACCAGCCGCTATTCAGGGAGAAAAGGGGGGCAGAAACAGCAACATCACAAGTTCAGTTCTGCATTTCCACCTGTCAATTCCGTATTCTATCTTCCTGTGCCTTGTCGACTAAAGTTTCTTCACTACGACAACGCGCTTCATACCTTTGCACATTCACTTGACCCAGATGTCACGTCGTAAAATATAATGTAGTGAATTCTAGGTCAACGATTAAATATGTCAACCCACCATCGGCCGCCTCTTGAAAGGAGCCAAATACAGCCAGTCTCTCTGCTGCCAACCAGCGCGGGCTCGCCTTGTTGCCGAATGACAGATTTGACCCATGAAGCTCCTCTTTAGCCACAGTTGAGCTTGGTGATGCGACCGAGGCTGACAGGATCTTCAACGTCATCGTTGGCCAGTGTGAGCCAGTACAAAGTAGTGAACCCTGCGGAGGGTGACCTTGGCCCGGTTGACCTATGAGCATCCCCAATCCAAGGAGGCCTTATACCAATATTTTGTCTTCTTTGATACCAAAGAATACCCATCCGGGCCACCGGACTTTCAAAAGGGTGCAGCTCGCTTTGCCAGCTTTGGTTCCCAGTCTGCAACCACTGAGAAGGCAGAGGCTGAAAGACTTGTTAATCTATTCGCGGAATACCCGTTCAGTAACTCTTTCTTGCCATGTAAGTATGGTCGCTGGTGCTGTGCATCGTTTTAGTCGTACACTTCTCATAGTGAAATCGCCGGGGAACAGAACACCACAGCCCACACCAGCAGCATTATCTGGCCCTCTTGAAAATGTGGCTGGGCCTTCTGCAAGACTGCCATATCTCCGCAACGATTGTTTGATCCGTGGTCATCATCGTTGCGTTGCTACGCGTACGTCTGATGCGGAAGAGGCAGGCAAGAGGTAGACGCTGGTTTAGTAACGCTTCCGGGAGATTTGACTACCTGGAAGTTGCACATATTATCCCTCACTCCCTCATGCGGGAGAATTCAGCAGAGGTGAATCATTCTTTATCAAACTCTGGTTGAAGGACTCTATCTCACCACTTATTTTTGCTGACTCGCTTTTCTCCATGTGAAGAAAATACTATGCAATATTACGCATGTTCGACCTCAGCGTGATTAGCTTAATCGAGGGTCCTGATATTGACCCTTCGACCCTGAAGTTACTTGCTATATCCTGCGCGATTTGTATCATACTTCAACTTAGCGGTGCTGGAGAATACATCGACCGAATCACCCGTGGCATGGAGGTTAGAGCGATGGCTCTACGGAGCTTAGCCACATTGCTTTCCTGGAATTGGGTGTTGGCTTGATAGAGTGACTGTCCGATAGTTGATTAGATCTAATACGATTGATATAAGTTTCATCAGAGGCAGCCAGTTAAAGGGTGTTGCGCCCCTTGAGTGTAATGGCAGAGCGCAAAGATGTTGTCGTCAAGGCCTCCTCCATCATTGATAGTTATCCTTGCAAGGCACTGCATAGCTAACCTTGCTATAGAGAGCACAGGCATGAGGCCCACTTGACTCAAAAACGAGGAGACTTGGTTTAGCTATAAGCCTCCTGTCTCTAGAACTCCAATCAAGCCTTGAAGATGGCGGGACCTTCACGCTTTGGCAGGTAAGGATGGTCACCACAGCTCATTGACTTATTACAGAACAAAGATCGAATCACTAAAGTCGCGTAAGAGCAAACATACTCACGTGACTGGCCACTTCATTTTCTTCCATCGTCGAGGCAGACAAAGACAGCCATCAGTCGATATCGGGACTTGTGAGCAATCCGGGTCAAATAGAACAGAAACACACAATGGGTGGTTTTGAGCAGAATGAGAGCGCCGAATCGCATCTGGCAAAGGTATCTACTCGTCTAAAAGCTCCTCTACCTAAGGAGCTGTCTCTATAGGGCATGCATTCAGCTGGTGAACAACTGTTGTTAACGTTATATTCACATTATAGGCATTTAAAGACATAGCTAGGTGAGTGACAGCAAGGTCTAGCCGGACCGTTAGGTATCTATTATAGCGGGAAATTATATCTAACATCTATACAGAGGCGAACAAACAGCCGAAGCTATTGAGAACCATCTTACTCGCATAGAGCAGGAAATAGATCGTCTCCTTGGATCTGTTGAAGCAGCAAAGGAGGGTACGGAAGCAGTAACCAAAGATGATAAGGGAAATGGGGAGGCGGAGGGCGTGAAAAGCGCTGATAAATGTGACGAGAAGGAGCAACAAAAATAAGCAACGGGAAGGGAGAGGGGAATTATGGGAAGCCAAAGAGTTTCTCTAGCTGGAAAAGCCCGTCTGCATTCTTCTCGGCAACACCGACTTCCGTTACAATGGCGTCGATAAGATCGTACGGCGTGACATCGAAGGCGGGGTTCCAGACGTCGATTCCAGGGGCAGCAATGTTGACGGTTTCAAGAGTGATGTTCTCCTCGTTTTTACCCAGATCACTGATACGTGGGCCTGTGATCCTGGTGACTTCCGATTTTGCTCGTTCTTCAATTATGATATCCTCTCCTTCCTTGGTGCGCAGATCAATAGTGGTTCTGGGCGCGGCAACGATGAACTTCACGCCGTGATATTTGGCGAGCACAGCCAGTTGATATGTTCCGATCTTGTTGGCAGTGTCTCCGTTTGCGACAACCCGGTCTGCTCCTACCACGATGGCGGCGAGGCCGGCTCCCTTTTGCGCGAGGAGAGAGGCGGCCATGGAATCTGTGATCAAGGTGGCTGGGATCTTGTCATGTACTAGTTCAAAGGCAGTGAGTCTGGCGCCTTGGTTGTACGGCCTGGTTTCTGTGCAATAGGCGTGCTCGAGCTTATCTGAGGCTAGAAGGGAGCGGATGACTCCCAGCGCTGTTCCATACCCGGCAGTTGCAAGAGAGCTAGAATAAAAAAAAAAAACCACATCATTAGCACAGCCAGTCCCTTGTCGCTCCAACTTCTCTCATCCTGCTACTGGACTATCCCAAAACGTACCCTGTGTTGCAATGCGTCAAGACACCGACCTTCTTTCCCTCCTTACCTACAGGAGTGTTATTCACGATCCACGTTGCTCCAAAGTCTCCCAATCGATGGTTATCCATCGCATCGTCAATCAGCATTTTCTCCGCCGCCTCAACATACGCCTCCGCCAGATCTTTGCCCTTGGGGTCCCCGATCTGCTTCCTCTTCTGCACCAACGTTTTCAACTTAATAGCCGCATCACTCAAATTAACCGCCGTAGGCCTACTGGTAACCAAGTAATCTAGCTTCTCTAATATGTAGGCTTCGACCTCGTCTGCTTCAGTCGACAGCTTCTCATGGTCCATCAGCTCTGTCAGCTCGATCGAGAGTGAGAGAACGGCAACGATAGCGATAGCCGGCGCGCCTCGGACGTGCATCTCTTTTATAACATGCCATCCTTCCTTAGCTGTTGAGACGGGGATATATCGTTCGACGTGGGGTACCTGGAGCTGGTCCAGGACCTGTAGCATGCCGCGCTTGTAGCGGATCGATTGAAGAGACATGGCTGAAGAACTATGCGCCGGACAGATGGAAGGTACTGTAGCCTCTCGTGTAGTTTTATTTTATGCCCTTTATCGCTAGAAACAAATGGATGTTGGTTGTTTTCTTCAGCTATCTTGAGAATTTGGTAGAAGGAGAATTTGAACTTGATGGGCGGGGAGGAGGGGCAAAAGCCACTATAAAAGTTTTTATCCTATACAAGTCTACGATGAACAGGCCAACACCATATAAAACGACGAATGAAGCAGTGAAGATGGTTTGATATAATTTCATTTATGAAGTTATATATTATGATTCTTTATTCGTCGAGCTTGACAGGTGGTGAGGATGCCTGTTGGTACCTAGATTGGAACAATTTGACAGCGTCCAGTTCTAGATACAACCAGGATAAAAACAGCTTGCCTGAGGAGTCTTTGATCCCCCAAGGTGCTTCATCCATAGTTTGTGTGTGCAATCCCCGTTCTGCTTGTTCTCTCTGGCACGGCGAGTGCCTGTACGAGTTCTTCTAACCATGTCGGCTCCCTCAACGCCTATCTTTCATATCTTAATTCATTCCAACTCTACCAAGATGAAGTATTCGTAGACAACATGTAGAAAGCTCAGAAGGGAGCTCAGCATTGTATCATTATAACGTCACAAGCGTCTGTAAACGGGTTAAACTGCTCTCTAGTCCGCCGAGATGTAGAGTACTATCAATCGCATCAGTATTGAATTTCTGGCAAAAAAGGCAGTGCGAACATACCATTATTCCCCCGTACGAATGCATCACCGTAGCTCCGTCTCATTTTACCGTTGACGTATTCCTCGGTCTTTTCCAGGGCAATGTTCATGTAGCCATCAACGGACTGGAGCTCGCCTAGCAAGGGGTTAGAACATTACTCTCGGAAACACAGTCCGTGGTAAATGCACGAGTCTCACCTTTGTAAACGACACCGGAGTTCAGCTTGACAGTAACTGGAGCGCCTGTGATTTCTCCAAGAAAAGCAGAGGGATCTTTGCCCTCGGAAGACGATGAGGCCTCCATTTCAGGTCAGGTTAATACAGACAGAGAGACTAACAGCTCGAGTCACGTCAGCGCGCAGTTCTTATCTCAACAAACCGCGAATATCGGCTTTATCGACCGTCTTGATGTTTTTCTTCTTTTCTTCTTCAACAACACAGATAGCTGATCACGTGAGAGCTCGACTTGGTTATATTAAAACGCGACGCGAAACGATTTCAATAAGAAGAGAAAATTCAATTGAATGAGATTGTAGAGTGAAGAGGACAGCTTATGAATACATTGAATGCTCGCATATCCATACATGAAAAGGAGGAAGTTTTGTCTATTCATAGTCAATGACCTCATTTCCAGTCAATAGAACCAACCATCAACCCAACACTTGAAACCTTTGGATTGCTATATAAACCGGGCTTCAGCCTCGAAAAGGAGGCCATCACATCTGCCATCCTACTTCCTCTCGTTTGAACAACTAACCCACCACCGGATTAATGAACAAGTGATAGAGCAAAGGGGATAGCGATGAGATCGTTCTTCAAGAAGCCAGCTTGGGCGCAAGAAAAGGCACCGGCGAAACCGCAGGACTTCTACCGGCGCTCCAACCAGGTATATACGGACTTTGTAGCTACGGCTCAGGATGACGAGGACAGCGAAGACGATGTCAAGGCAAAGAAAAAGCCAGAACATGAGCCGAAGAGGCGCCGTATCTCCAACGAAGACCAAGAAGCAGTCCCTTCAATCACGGAGTCAAGAGTCAAGACACCACCTCCGGCAGACACAAACGGTGCTGCTAAAAAGGATTCTTCTCCCAGGCCAGAGGCAAGGGCTAGCGGAACTCCACCGAGGACTCCATGTACTGCGCGCACCAGCCCAAGGAAGATAAGTCCGAGAAAGACCAGTCCGAAGAAGTCGCCATTGATAGGAGCCTCTCCGCCAGGCACTGTCATTCGTCTTAATTCAGAATCACCACCTCCTCCAGCTGCCCGTGTGCCTCCAGCGGTTGTGTTACAGGACGACTCCGAGTTGGATAATGACGGTGATAACGATGAAGAGTCAGACGAGGAATGCGCAGCATTGGTCAGACGGGCTCGAGAGAGGGCGCGCAATCGCTCTTCGCAGGCGGAGAGCAAGTCCAGATCCCCTACGGCCAAACCAGGAGAGCCAAAGAAGGAGAAGATAGGAAGCCCCTCAAAGCCTTCCACGACTCTTAAATTGTCCAAGAAGGAACCAAAAGACACCATCGTGACCATCCTGATTACATCTGAAATGGAAAATACAAGACCTCTGCTTGTCCGTCGAATGTTGTCACAGAACTTGGGAGACGTGCGAAAGACATGGTGCAACTACCAAAGCTTCGACGAGCAAATGTCTGACTCCATCATCTTAACCTGGAAAAAAAGACGACTATTTGACGTGACTACGTGTAAGAGTTTGGGGATCAATGAATCTGACAATAATGACAACTCCTTGTTTGATCAGGCGCCATTTGGGATGGAAGAGGGTAATGCAGGCGTCCACATGGCGGCCATGACCTTGGAGTCCTTTGAGAAAAGTCGTCGAACAGCAAACAACACCATACAAGATCGCGGCGAGGTTACGAGTGAAGAAGATCCGGAGACCAAGGCCCAGGAAGTGCCAGAGGGGGAACTTGTTCGAATTATACTGAAGAACCCTGACCTCGAGGATTTCAGGATAAGGGTTCGGCCTTCAACACGGATTATCAACATCATAAACAAGTTCCGTGAGATGATGGAAATATCCCCAAACACATTAGTTTCACTCTTCTTCGATGGAGATCGGTTGAGGCCAGAGTCTCTGATCGGTGACAACGATATTGATGATATGGATTGTATTGATGTTGTGTTGAAATAGTTATGGCTGCAGACATATCATGATAAGTCTTGAGCGTTATATCAGATCTATAGACACTGTCAATAGAGCTATCATGAATCATCTTCAACGCTGTTACTTATATCCATGTCTATATAGAGAGGGTCACATATAGCCTCCTTATCGATAAGCTTCCTCCCCGCGATAAGGAAATTTTTACACCAAAAATATTTCCCACCAGCTTCGGCCAAACTCACTGATGCATTCGACCGACGAGAACAGGTAGAAGTATCCATACATTGGCAATTCCACAGAAGAATAAGCATACATACCGAAAGATGAAAATCCTCACGTCAAACTTCGTCACCTGCGCCGTGAAAGCGTGCAAGTCGTCCTCGGCATCATACCCACTCCACTTCCAGAACGCAGAGCTCGAGGAAGAAGAACTCGAATTTCAACCTGATTTCGTACGAAACATTCTACCCAGAATAGACTGGGAAGCTCTCAAGATTAGTGCCAGCGAGGTAAGCCGTCCTGCCTTGTGTAGTAGACCTGACCCGAATAAATACGATTCGTACGGATTTGTGCTAACAGGCTATTTTCTGGGATTAGCTAGGGTTCCCGTCGATAAGTGAATCGAAGCCTGAAGGAGACGAGCTGAATAATGAGCAGTTGCTGCGCGATTTGCATAAACTGCTCCTTGAAACACATGTCGTAGAGGGACAGCTGGTTTGCGGAAACTGCGGGCACGAATATAAGATAAAAGAAGGGATTGCAAATTTCCTGCTTCCAAGCCATCTTGGTATGTTATTCTTTTGCTCTTTATCTGGTTTCTATCTACTAATGACTGGGTAGTATGATATGATGAAAAAGCAAGGATGTTGAAAAAAAATTAGACAAATATACCCCCAGAACCAATGAAGAAAGATAAAAATTATTAACTGTTTCTCTCCTATTTGATAAAGTATGTTTTTGAATAGTTAACTTGTCATTTATGAACCTTCCCCAGCATTTGGCCAGCGCCTTGATACATACCTCCCAGCATAAAATGACCCATATCTATCCACCCGACCATCCAGCTAATATACACATAGAATAAAAGCAGATAGTTAAAGAGAAGAAAGCAAAAAAAGGGGATTATTACAAGCTAGAGCAAGGGCAGACAGATAGACAGATGAAAAAGGGGGTGTATTTTGGTTAAGAAATGCATAGTTTGACCATTGATAGGACAAAGGGGGAAGAAGAAGAAGAGAAGAAAAAAAAAGATATGACATTTAACGCCAAAGCCTATCGAAGCACAACTCAAGTGGAATGATGGAACGCCTTTCCTGCTTTAATATAACTGAATTATGTCTGCATAGCATAGTATAGCATTGTGGGATGGGATAATAGCGGGTGCTGGAATATAAATGTAGACTGCAATGTGTGCGGGAAGCATAGCTGCAATAACGTTGCTTGCTTGTTCGCTTGATTATTATGGAGGGTTTTTTTTTTTATTGGTGATGATGATCGAATGTCTATCCAGGGGTAGGGTAAAGGTGATGGGGTATAGTTGATGGAGTTTAGTTGAGGAATCCCTTGCAGCCAGTTGAGCCACAGAGACAAGGGATACGGTCGTCGCTGTCCCATTCTCGCTCGAATTTATAATCGTACGTCAATTCTTCGTCTGGATTTATTGTCAGTAAGGCGAATAGATAGATGTATAGCAGGGCAGGGCATACCTCTCTCGATGTCCCGTAGGGCATAGATGACGATACGTTTGCTGCCGTCGACCTTGATGATTTTCGCAGTACAGTTCGGGGTGCAGCTGTGATTGATGAATCTTGCGATGCCGCCGTGCTTCGTTGCGTCGATGACGGTATTCTCATCAATACGAAACAAGTAGCTGCTTCCAATCCCGCTCTTGAGGTATCGACGTTCGCGCATATCAGCGACTTGCTGCCGGACTTTCTCACCCACGTACTCGATAATCATGTCGTTGGCGGTGATGTTTTCTTCCGCATATAGACCCCAGTTGTGGATCGCGGAGCGAGCAAAGCGTACTGGCTTCTTACGCTTCTTCAACTGATTGAAGCGCAGGACGTCGCCTTCGCCGCTTTGGGTGGGCAGGGCTTGCTTCTGAGCGTTGATGTCGGCTATGAGACGGCGGTTGTTGACTCTGTTTGATCTGGAGGAGGTAGATTTGGAGATTGTTTTGGCTGCCAGGACCCGAGATGCTTCTGTGGTGGCCTGCGGGTCGTTTTTGGCGAGTGCCTCGCGCTCTTCGCGGGCCTTTTGGACCTTGATGCGATGAGGCAGGTATTTGGACTTTTCTGACTCGAGGATGCGTTTCCGTCCGTCGGTACGAGCGGAGCCTGTTGGGTTGGGGACGTAGTAGCCTTCTATTTTGAGTTCGGAGCGGACTGGCCCCCTTGCGCCGTGGCTGTTGATGGCTTTGATCTGTTTCTGGTTCCAGGCCCAGGCCGTGACGTTGGGGATGGAGATGTCGAAGGTGGATGGGTGGGAGTGTAGGGCTTCTCGTAGGAAGCGAAGGTCTTCTGCATCCTTGACCAGGTTCTGCCATCCGTCGAGATCGAGGATGATGCTCTCGTCATCTTCCACCGTTGCCTTGGGTTCGGTCGTGGATAGGCCCCATTCTACCTCTGGCTTGACGTATTTCTCTTCGTATTCATCTTCTTCCTCCTCCTCTTTCTCCTCCGTTTCGATATACTCTTCAATAGGAGTGACGTCAAGCGAGATATCATCAACCTTGGGAACAAGACCCTCTTCCGCTGCGGTCTCGAGCTTAGCCAATTTAAGCACTTCCTTTTCCTTGAGGAGTTGCTTCTTGGTCTTTTTCTTCGGTTTCTTGCCCTTGACTTTGCTGAGTGGCTGCTGGGAGTCCACGATCATGGATAGATCATCCGGTTCCTGAGCGAGATCACCAACGACATGCGAGGTATCGACGCCGAACAGCTCGTCGACCTTCTTCCGCCGCTTCTCCATCTCCAGTAGCTCCATGCTGAGCCGTTTCCGCTTCTTCGACAGGCGTTCATCTTCACCTGCTTCTCCCAGCATCTCACGATCGAGGTCGTCCAGCTCATCCTTGATGCCGGCGGAGTCGAGTCCCGAGTCGCCAAAGCCAGAGACGCTGGGCACGAGAGAGCCGCGAAGATGTTCGTCGTCATCGTTATCTGCCTCGCTGGACAGGCGGGAGAGCGGTCTACTTTCTTGTTCTTCGGTATCCCGGGTGAAGGACGTCTGCTGCTCATCGTCGGAATCGTCTTCGTCGTGAAGCTGCTGAAGACGGTGGTAGAGTGGCCTGAACTCCCTCCGGCGAACGGGACGACGCCGTCGCTCATCCACAAAGGCAGAGTTGTTCTGTTCAAAGTCACGGGCCTTTCTGATACGGGGCAGGGAGAGCACATTCTTCGACGCGACGCCCGGTGGTGCAGGGCTGTTGCGGGACTCCGTAGTGTTCTCCCCCCCGAACGCGGCATCGAGATGGAAGGCCGGTCTCTTGATTCCCTGGGGGTCAGCAATGCCTAGTTTCTGCCTCTTTGCGCGGTGTCTGTCGGGGTCGAGGAAGTCGTAGAGGGCCGGGGCGGCGATACGGGTCTTGATGTCTTCGAGCAACTTGTCCCTGAGCTCACGGACGGCAATGGCAACGACTTCGGTGGTCGGATCGATGTTCTCTGCCCGCAGCCGCTTCTCTTCTTCGACGTCCAGCTCTGTCTCCCGCTTGAGGCGTGCCTTTTCCGATTTTTCCTGCTGTTCGGCCTTGACTCGTTCGGGGCTGGGGCTGCGTTCGTATGTAGGGTTGCCGTACTGCTGGCATTCCATGTTCATGACGTACGTGAAGAGGGCGGTCATATGGCACCCGCGAAAGCATCGTTCGCACTCGAGCTCCCCGCGGCGGGAGTTTTCAAACAGGACATAGTAGCCGGTGTTGTCGCACCGGACGGACTTCCAATCGTACAGTTTCAGTCGCCTTTCGAGATGGGGTACCGTTGTGCTGAGGACGGGGACGTAGCAGTGTGCGATGAAGATGTAGGGGTCTCGTTTGATCTGGTCTAGTATGGGGGTCTCCTCTACCAGAGAAGGGGGTTTGACAATGGCGCGAGGGCCCTCGGGAGGCTGAAGCTGCAGGGCCGGATGCAGGGACGATTTGCCGGATGGCCCCTTTGGCGCAGTCGGAGGAGGGGCGTTGTCCTTGGACTGGGCCGTGTCAGCAGTGGTGATGGTATCCGCCTTGGGTCCGGTAGGTGGTATGGCAGAGGAAGATGGAGTAGAGGTAGAAGCAGAAGGGAGGGGAGGAGGCGGTGGTGGGACGGCTGTGGACTTGCTATCCGGCTTCCTGGCTGCATCAGCGTTATCGGCCTTGTTCTGCTGTTCAAAGACGGCGAGCTGTTCCTGCTTCTGGAGGGCAATCAGCTTGGAGACGATACGGTTGCAGGCGGCGGCGTTGCGGTCGAGCTCTACTCTGATGCGCCTGGTGCCGATGCGCTGTTCCTTTTTGCACTCGAGGTAGGCTCTGCGGGCGGACTGGGCGGCGGAGAAGGGCGAGCCGCCGCGAAGGGACCTGCTGTCCTTGTAGGTGATGGAGCACACCCCGAGGAAGCGGCCGGTGGTGGGATCGGTCCTGTTATCGATCTCTGCGATCTCACCGAAGCTGGAGAAGAGGGCGGAGATGGGGGCCTCGGTGGTCAAGGGGTCGTAGCCGGTGACGACTATCTGGGTGGGCGGGCCGGGCCCGATGGAGGTAGCTGGATCGTATGGCCATTGTTTGAGCGTGTAGGGAGCCGGCCTGTACTTTGTCTTTTGCTTGCTGGCCGCGCCACGGGTGTAGTTTACAATTGCTCTCCGCGGGTCGACCAGGGCGATGCCAGGAGCAGCAGCGGCGGTGACAGCAGCATCGGGTTCGTCCTCTCCAAAGGCAGCATACTGGGGTTTCCGGCGCTTGTCCCTGGACGGTTTCCTGTCCAGGTCTGGATCGTAGACGAGCCGGTATCCCTTTGCACCGGCCGGGCGAGGGAGCCGTGACGGAGACGGCGAAGGGGGAGTGTGCAGCAGGAGGGAGGCGGCGGCCTTGGCATCGTCAGCGTTCTCGCTCTCCCTTGGACGGTCGAGCAGGGCGGAAGCAGCAGAGGAAGAAGCGCCAGCCGGCCTGGAGGGAAGCATTGGGCTGCCGGACTTGCGCGGCGGCGAGGAGTCGGTGTTGGTAAGGGGCGTGAGGGCGTAGATGGAGGTCCCGTTTGTGGTGGCCGCGGCAGACGGGCCGGCAGAGACGCAGCTCGACACGGAGGACTCTGTCGAGCTGGAGGACGAGCCTATCCTCGCGTCTCCCTCGCCATTCTCCGTAGACGTATGTTCAGTAGGTATCGTGCCCGTATGTTCAGTGGCTGCGGGCGTCGTCTCTGCCGTTGCTGCGTCATCTGCTGCGTCTGGGTGCCCGTTGGGAGAAGAGAACTCCCCACCACCACCGCCGCCGCCGCCGTCATGCTGCTGCTGCTGCTCCAGGTCAGAGGAGGCCGGCTTGCTCTTCTGCTTGCTGCTGGTGCTGTTATCCAGGCTGGTGCTGCCGGTGCTGCTATGCTTGCTGCTGCGCTTCTTCTGCAGGACTGAGGGCGCCGTAGGGAAGAAGTCTGCAAAGCCGGCGGAGGCGCGTGACATGGTCGATGGCGAAGAAGAAGATGAAAAAGAGACGCAAAAGAAGAGAAGAAGAGAAGAAGATGGCCTACGAGCCTGAGAGAGACGGGCGAGCGTGTGCAAACACCATCCTTGACCGCAGCGAGGAGGACGGCGGTGTTTTCATAGAGCCATGCAGTGTCTCTTTTTTATCCTCTTCTTCTGCTTCTTTTCCTCGTCCTGACGCGGTGCTGAAGGAGTCGAGCCGTGAGAGGAGGAAGAGTAGAGGAAGAGTCGCTTCGTTACCGTTGAATTGTCTGTGATATTTTTTTGGTTGTGATATTTTTCTATCTTTTTTTTTTGCCTTATTTTTTCTTTGCGGAGGTTGAAGTTTTTTTGACGTTCGCAAAGCCAAAGGGAAAACTTGGACCCCAGACAACGACGAGAAGTGATGTACGAGAAGTGATATAAGAGGAGAGAAGAGAAGAGACGAGACGATGAGACGAAGAGTTGCAGAGATACTGCATGGTGAACGAAGATGAGCCGCGATGAAGAACGCGAAGAACGCGATGAGATGGAGACTGAAGTGACCGTGAAGATGGCCGTGAAGATGAAGACTGAAGTGACCGTGAAGACAACGGATATTATGAAGAAGAAGACATGAATACATAGACTGCTTGCTCTACGCTACCGTCGAGACAACCTACGACTACGGTTCTTCCGCCATATACTATCACGACCACGACGCTGTCTCGAGTCGATGTCTGTCGATGTCTGTCTGTCGATGTCTGTCTGTCGATGTCTGTCTGTCGATGTCTGTCTGTCGATGTCTGTCTGTCGATGTCTGTCGATGTCTGTCGATGCTGTGCCGACGCTTCATCGCCCCTTACAGCGTCTGTCCGAGATAAAAATAGGCCATCCAGGACTATGTGTGAGTGCACCAAAAGAAAAGCCGTGCCTGGAGATCTTTATATTTAGCTGAGGACGCCTTGGCGGATGGTTCACTCCACTGTGGTGAGACATGGAGGTCGAGTACGTGGTGGTGAAGTCGCAGGAGAGGTGAAGAGATGCAGAGATAGAGACGGGACAGGACGGACGGCCGGGCCTTGCTTGTCCCTGTCTCGTCGGTATCGTCAACCTGCGGCTTGCTCGTCGTCGTGGGAGGAGGAAAGTCGACCTTTGGACTAGGAAGATGCTAGCTCGATGGATCCGGCACAGCCTCAGTAGAACAGGTAGAACAGCGAGAAGAAGAAAAGAAGACAGCAGATAAGAGTCAGGAGTCTATAAATCTCTCTTCTCTTCTCTTCTTCTCTATCTTCATCTTCATCTTCTCTTCTCTTCTCTATCTTCATCTCTTCTTCTCTTCTCTATCTTCATCTTCTCTTCTTCTCTCAACATCCCGTTCTGCCCCTCCTCACCGCCACCAGCGCCAACTTCAACTTCGCCAACTTCAACAACTTCAACCACCACGACAGCTTCAGCCAGAGACAGACAGAGACGGAGACAGACAGAGAGACGAAATACGCTGAGAGACAGACACAGTGACAATTGCTACTGACCTTAATTGAACCGTCGCTCGCTCAGTAACCATGTGGTAAGCCCCTCCGCCGCAGCTGCACAGCTCTCAGCTAACGACGTCCAGTGGAATCTTTGGCTACATCAACTATCTGGTCGAGAAGGACCGTCGCTACATCATCCAGACCATCATCAATGGTGAGTCTGGTCTGCATGGCCACGTTGTGCGGCCGCTTCTGGCTACTGACTGACAGGACAGGCCTCTCCCGGCTCGAGTACCGTGGATACGACTCGGCCGGCATAGCGGTCGACGGCGACAAGAAGAACGAGGTCTTTGCCTTCAAGGAGGTCGGCAAGGTCGCGAAGCTCAAGGAGCTCATCGACTCCTCCAAGCCTGACCTCTCCAAGACCTTCGAGTCCCACGTCGGTATCGCCCACACCAGATGGGCCACCCACGGCTCCCCTTCCAGAATCAACTGCCACCCCCACCGGTATGTCTCCAAGAACCACCCAAAGAAGCATTGTGAATGACTGCTGACGAGGACAGATCCGACCCCAAGTGGGAGTTTGCCATCGTGCACAATGGCATCATCACCAACTACAAGGAGCTCAAGGCCCTGCTCGAGTCCAAGGGCTTCCGCTTCGAGACCGACACCGACACAGAGTGCATCGCCAAACTGGCCAAGTATCTGTACGACCTCCACCCGGACATCGACTTCACCGTCCTCGCCAAGGCGGTCGTCAAGGAGCTCGAGGGCGCCTTTGGTCTGCTCATGAAGTCCGTGCACTACCCCCATGAAGTCATTGCCGCCCGCAAGGGTTCCCCCCTGGTCATCGGTGTCCGCACGGAGAAGAAGATGAAGGTCGACTTTGTCGACGTCGAGTACTCGGAAGACGGCGCTGCCCTGCCCGCCGAGGAGGCCTCCCAGAACGCCGCCATCAAGAAGTCGGCCACCAACCTGCTCGCCCCTCCAGACAAGAGCCTGCTTCACCGCTCCCAGTCTCGAGCCTTCCTCTCGGACGACGGCGTGCCCCAGCCAGCAGAGTTCTTCCTCTCCTCTGATCCCTCCGCCATCATCGAGCACACCAAGAAGGTCCTCTACCTCGAGGACGACGACATCGCCCACATCCACGAGGGCCAGCTCAACATCCACCGTCTCAACAAGAACGATGGCACCTCCAACGTCCGTGCCATCCAGACCATCGAGCTCGAGCTCCAGGAGATCATGAAGGGCAAGTTCGACCACTTCATGCAAAAGGAGATCTTCGAGCAGCCCGAGTCCGTCGTCAACACCATGCGTGGCCGTCTCGACGCCGAGAACGGCAAGGTCACCCTCGGTGGCCTCCGCCAGTACATCTCCACCATCCGTCGCTGCCGCCGCATCATCTTCATCGCCTGCGGGACCAGCTACCACTCCTGCATGGCCGTCCGCGGTGTCTTCGAGGAGCTGACCGAGATCCCCATCTCCGTCGAGCTGGCCTCTGACTTCCTCGACCGCGAGGCCCCCGTCTTCCGTGACGACACCTGCGTCTTCGTCTCGCAGTCCGGCGAGACCGCAGACTCCCTCAACGCCCTCCGCTACTGTCTCGAGCGCGGTGCCCTCACCGTCGGCTTCGTCAACGTCGTCGGCTCCTCCATCTCCCTCCTCACCCACTGCGGCGTCCACATCAACGCCGGCCCCGAGATCGGTGTCGCCTCCACCAAGGCCTACACCTCCCAGTTCGTCGCCATGGTCATGTTCGCCCTCTCCCTCAGCGAGGACCGTGCCTCCAAGAAGCAGCGCCGCGAGGAGATCATCAAGGGCCTCGGCCTCGTCTCCAACCAGTTCAGAGAGATCCTCAAGCTCAGCGAGCCCATCAAGGAGATGTGCGCCAAGTTCTTCAAGAACCAAAAGTCCCTTCTCCTCCTCGGCCGTGGAGCCCAGCACGCCACCGCCCTCGAGGGTGCCCTCAAGATCAAGGAAATCTCCTACCTCCACTGCGAGGCCGTCATGTCCGGTGAACTCAAGCACGGTGTCCTCGCCCTCGTCGACGAGCACCTGCCCATCATCATGATCCTGACCAGAGACAACCTCTTCGCCAAGTCCCTCAACGCCTACCAGCAGGTCATCGCTCGTGCCGGCCGGCCCATCGTCATCTGCAACCCAGACGACGAGGAGTTCCCCGCCTCCGAGACAGAGCGTATCCAGATCCCCCGCACCGTCGACTGTCTGCAGGGTCTCCTCAACGTCATCCCGCTACAGCTCATTGCCTACTGGCTTGCCGTCGGCGAAGGCCTCAACGTCGATTTCCCCCGTAACCTCGCCAAGTCGGTTACCGTCGAGTAATCTCATCATCTTCTAAGGGTTAAAAGAAAAACACAAACAATTCGGTGCTTATAGAATCACACTGGGTCCTGATGGGAAAAAGGAATTAAAAAAAAAAAAAAGAGACACAAAATTTCCCCCCCCTTTCCCCCTTAACCTCTTCTTTTCTTTCCATTTGTTACGAGGTTCCTTTCCCTCCTACGTTTCGTCTTAAACTGCCTATATGTTGTAATGCGACTTATGTCTCTGCATGCGTGTTGACCTCGCTGGCTATACCTACTACCGTAGTCATTTATACCATACATGCTACCTTGTGAACATGCGGGGCTTATCTAATCTCACGCTTAGTAAGCGTCGACATCCGTAAAGTAGAAGAAGAACCAAGTATTCAAGTATTCACAGCAGCAAGACGAAGACGCTACAACACTCGATCACACGCAGATAGCGATACAATGGCTACTCTCAAGGGACCAGGAGAAGCACATGCTTACGACGGTGCGTCCATTCTCCAGCTATCCTAACTCTCACCTCTCTATTTTCCCTCCCCTTCATACCCCCGCACCCTCGCATGATATCATCATCCCTACCAAGACAAATATAAGAACATATACCAACACAGCATACAGGAAGCGACCTCCGCATCGCCATCGTCCACGCAAGATGGAACCAAACCATCATTGACGCACTCGTATCCGGCGCAAAGAAGAGCCTGGCCACAGCAGGCGTAAAGGAGGAAAACATCACCATCCAAAGCGTCCCAGGAAGCTATGAGCTACCCTTTGCCGTGCAGCGGTAAGCATTACTACTAAACAAAACTACAACCGAATATGAACTGTCTGCCTGCCTGATTGCCTGATTGCCCGTCTAATGCGTGCGCAGGATGTATTCCGCCTCTCATATAAATGCCAATGCCGCTCCGTCCGGAGGCACGGCAGATTTACTTTCTAGCTCGACGACGGATCTCACCAGGCAAGGTGGCGGTGCAGGTGCTGGCAGCAAGCCGTTCGATGCGATAATTGCAATTGGTGTGCTTATCAAGGGCGAGACGATGCATTTTGAATATATCTCTGATGCGGTGTCTCATGGGCTGATGCGGTTGCAGCTTGATATGGGTGTTCCGGTCATCTTTGGGGTTTTGACTGTGCTTAGTGAGGAGCAGGGCATGGCTAGGGCGGGGCTGGGAGATGGTAAGATGCATAATCATGGGGAGAGCTGGGGAGACGCGGCGGTTGAGATGGGGGTTAAGAGACGGGGGTGGATGGATGGGAAGATCTTATAAATTGAAGGAAAGGTCCTTTTTTTTCGACTGGATGAGAAGCTTGGTTTATATTAAGAGCAAGGAAATGTCCATGTAAGAGATAATCGTTTTAATCTATTCCTCCATCTTATCGTCTTCTTCATCCTCGTCGTCGTCGTCTTCTTCCTCTTCGGTCAGGGCTTTCCTGGCGAGGTTCTCTGCCTCCTCCAGCAGATTCTTCGGAACCTCCTCGTGTCTGCCCTTGGTAGGTCCGTCCAGACTGCTGATCCATGTCATCTCCAGCTCAAACTCTTTGTCCTTGCTGTCTTCGTGAGAGATGTAAATGATCCTAGCGGCCTCCTTGACACCATCCAGCAAGCTCAGTTTACCGGCTGGAAGGTCTAGTTTCTCCAGCTCGGCCTTGGCGGCTTGACGGCCTTTGCCTGTCGCGGCTCCGTAGTAGCCCTGTCAATTTAGCCCGTTAGTTAGCATTATGACTGAAACGGGGCATCGGAGGCTACAAAATATAGACATACCCAGTAGGCGCCGCTGGGCTCGATCATGAACAGGCCAGGACCACCAGCCTTGCTTCCCTTGACTTTACCGCCTGCGCCTGATTCAGGGCCAGTCCCAACCTGCCCGTCTACCGGCAATTCAGCCTCTGAATCCCACCCCCCGATTATGGCAGAGATACCGAATGGCCGAACGGAGGAATATAGGGTATATGCCTGAACATATCCACCTAACCGACTGGCCAGCACGTCCGTTGGGATTGGCCCTTTATATGTACTTCTCCACGAAGACGCTTCGTCACGAGCTCTGGAAACGAAGTGTCGTCCATCTGGAATCAGACCAGAAGAGACCTATACCGAAATACCATCAGCAAGCCGTAATTTCATTATACAGTAACAGCAAAGGAGACAACACGCACTATGCCAATGTTCCTGTCAACGGTTGCTATTCTCTTATTGGCGCCAGGCTTGAGTAGTTTGCTGCTGATAATCTTCTCCACGGCAAGGACAACACCGTCCTTGCACCGTATACCGATAGACGTGCCACCGTTCTCAACTGCTTTTACCGCATATTCTACCTGGAGAGCGAGGTGGGTTAGCTAGAGCGAAGGGAGACCAAGAGGGTCCGTCCGGGTATGAGAGCAAAGCGCACTTGAAAGTTACGGCCGTCTGGCGAGAAAACAGAGTTGGAGAGATCGTATCCTGTTCCTATGGAAGTCTTGTATCCAGTACCAGTCAGTGAGATGATTCGTATACGTCTAGTTGTTGCTATCAACATACCATCTTGAGGTCGTTGTGTAGTAAGAGGGACAGAAAGGAGTATCGTCTAGCTGTGCTGTCTATCAATGAGCGTAACAAGGTATACGAGAAGAGATATCAGGTACAAATGGATGCTCTTCGCTTCGTCTTCGCATCTGTTGTTTCTTCTCGTCTTCTTGCTTGTGTTTGGCGTTTCTCTTTTTGGAGCTTCGAGCTGGCTGCGTCACGGGACTGCTGCCTTCATGACTAAGATCTGACTAAGCCTGACCTCTGACTTCAACCTTTTTTTTCCAGCAACAAGAAAGACGAAAAGACAAAGACAAAAAGAAGAAAAGAAGAAGAATCATCAGGATTCGATTCGCAGGATGTCATGTATTTGACCTATGAGATCCCTGACTCGGTAAACAGAACAAGGACAGACCTACAGGGTTCTCGCTATTCTTCATCTTCCATCGTTTCTGCCTGACGTTGCCTGTTTAGCCGCCACTTTTGAGCTTGGTTGGGCATCGATTCACTAGTTAACTAACCTGCAGGCGAGAAATAGATAACAACGCCCATATTCACTGCAATCCCCGAAGACTTGCTCTTCATCTAGCACTCTCTGAACCTCTGGAGTCGACATTTTTGCTCTCTATATCGGTTTCTTCCCCCTTTACTAGGCTACTCCACATCCTGCCCCGCCACCCCTTTCGCATTTATATCTACCTCCTTTTCCGCCCTGGATAGCAAAGCAACAACTCGATCCTCTATTCACAGAGAGGAACAGGCGCTGATCGATCCAGAGAAACAGGACTCTCGGTCTCTTCAGATTATCACGCTGATCGTACGAGTTCTCATCATTCTTCCCACCTTGCTCCTTGTGTTGGGCATCACCGGACCGTATAAAATCATCCCTCTTCCCCCACCCGCCACATCGTCATTTCAATCCCTACCTAGACTTTGAGAGAACGAGAATATACAACTTCTTCCCTTCTTTCGATTTTTGTTGTGCTTCCTTCAGCTAGCTTAGAACATATATAGGAACAAGAAAACAGGAGTTGTTGTTCATTGCCACAGTTCTCTCTGAAAAAAGATCCATCTAAACCATCTGGTCAACTACAGAACTAAACGAAAAAATCACAAGAAGATACAACATTTTGATCAAAGATGGTATCTGTTCTTCATCGATGCCCGTACTGTGCGTACGAGACTGATCTCTCCAGCACCCTTCCAGCTTTCACAGAGAATCCTCATTGCCAAAGAGTAAGAAGTGCTCTATTTCCAAGCCTCAGGGGGAAGTTATGGTTTAAAGATATGATTCTAACATGAGTTTGAATAGTGTGGCTTGTCTGCAGCAGAAGGTGATATGAAGATGGATGATGACCTTGCAGCTTTATTTGCTAGTAAGATGGCTATGACCAATGCACCAATACAGCAAACAACGGTCAACTTGCCCCATACCCAAGCTTCTAACCCAGCAAGCCCAACCCTTCCATCATCCTCTGCTGTGCACAGTATCACTCAGCATTACCACCATTCCTCTCACCAGGCGGCCCCTGGCCCCCATAGCAATGCATCTACAGACACCGATTCTGATGCCATGCAACAAGAACACGCAAACATACCAAATCCTACCCCCGCATCTACATCTGCATTCTCACCCGAAGATATGCTCAGAAGCTATAACATCGACCCCAGCACCCTTTATCCCTCTCAGATAACCTTGTTCAGCCAAGCTGCTCCTGAGCAGAAGTTTCGTCTCATCGAGTTATGGCGTATATCCCCTGGCACAGTCAATCCAGCCGTTATGGCAAACATACTTCCCAGTCAAGGTGCCCATATCGTCCACACAGGCTTTCTTTCAAACCTCACAAACACGCAAAGCAAACCCCAATCATGCGGTGGTGACGATATGATGATGGATGACGAGAAGATTGACATCGACTCTCACGATGCTGAGCCATACGTTCTTTCTGGTTACGAACGCCTTGCACAGCAGGAATACGAAAGCCAAAGTGCACCAGCATCCACGTCCCCTCTTTCAAGTCAGACTTATAACCAGGCCACGGATCCGGTTTATAAGGGAAGTGAATGGCAACAACAGCAGCAACATCGTGCCATGGAAAACCAATACGGTGAACTCCAGATGAAGAAGTACTACTTTGGCTGCGGCATTTCGAGAGCTCATTGGCTTGAGGATGAGCAGATGCTATAGGATGATGCAACAGGAAATACATATTGGGGAATGATTCTTATACCACCGCTGTTCATTACTTCTGGCAGTTCTGGAATTATTTGGATTACTGAACTGGCCCCTTCCACCTCTCTATCTCTCTCTCTCTCTCTTTTCTTTATTATATATGCTACTTTCTTTAACTTCCCTTCCCTTGGAGATGACTGCTTTCATTGATCAATTCTATAACGCTTGCATGAAGTTCATATACAGAACCCCTTTGTCCTCGACCACCTACTAGATTATGTTAGGCTTGTTTTATGTTCAATACCCGTCTCTACCTTGCAGTCTAACCTTTCTTCAATTTTGCTTCTCTTCTACCCCCCCCAATAGGCTGTATGTAATCAACAAGCACCCTTTTGATTTGAGAGACTGATAATCCTGTATATTTAGGAGTTATAGAAGCACTTTTTAAATATCTACATTGCGCGAACGCAGGGAATAAGAGATTAACTGAGCTTAGCATATGAGAGTCCTATATTCCAAGTATACTAATCTGTACATCATCACTGCTAGTTGTGTTTATGGAAATAATGACTTGGCGGGGCAACCCAGATTTGCCAGGAAGTAGAAGCTCTTCCCAGACTTGTTAATTTTGTATCGTGGGAAGAGTTGTAACCCAATATAACCTGGCAGCAGTAGAATTTGAAAATAATGGGCTTTGGATGAATATCTCAGAAGAACTAATACTTTCTGTATATCGGTCGCGTTTATAAGTGTTGTGTACATCGATTGTAGAATCTGCAGTAGAGTGGAAGATAATTAAGGCCTTGGCCCGTCTTATCTTGGCCATTCACACCTGTATATAGTTAATCAGCATAATTGTGTGAAAGGGGGAATGCTAGTATATTCTTCGCTGACCCAAGTATAGGCTATTGTATTGATATTGCTATTAATTCATCAAATTTTTGACTTCAGAACTTTAGATAAGATAGAGCGAATAAATAGTGATAGCACATATAGCAATTGAAGTGCTGAGCTTGATACTATCTTCCTATAGCCCTCAATTAGGTGCTGATAGCATCAATACTGCTGGTAGGAAGAACGTACCTCAGACACCATGATGCTCTCTGTAGCGCTTTTCTATATGTCGGGGTTAACTAGTGTTGTTTTTCCTTCTCAATTTGGGGGATACGTACCTCAAATATACTAATATCTTGTTTATTTATGGTCATTATTTTCCTCCTTATTTCCAATTTACCTTCTTCTTTGGCTTTCTCCTGGTGTAAGAGATTAGCTATACTGCCGTGCCACCGCTGGGAGGAATACATACCCTTGATCTCCGTAAATCCCAACGTAAAGCCTTGGCAAGAGAGCGAGTAACACCGTTGCGTTCAGAGTGATTCTTTGTAAAATACGACTCAATCTCGTATGTAGAAGATTTGTACAATGTTTCACCAAATCCTTCGAAACAGATGGGGATTTTTTGAATTTCAGGATGGTCAACGGGTAGCTGTTTTATCGCAGCAACCCATCCTCTTAGGAATGACCGTACTTCAGGAGGCATGGCAGAATATTTTGGACACGGTGGGAAGACTACCTTCTCCCTCTGTAGCTATCCGGCTATTAGTTCACGGCTTGACAAGCTAAGATATGATCATACCTTCAATATAGTCATTTCTTGCTTGAAAATGCTCATGTGATAATGTGTAAATGAAATGAATAGAATAATTATTCGATATTACATGAATGAGGTAATGAAAAATTAGCTAGGAAAGGTTGATATAGAGCTGAGAAGTAATTGTTCAAGCCCTACTATGTATAAATGGCCTGTGGCGGAGCTATGACGTATTTTATACTGACAGCTGGCGTTTAATTGAGTTCATCGCGCTTAAGTGGAGCCGGTCGCGCTTCAAATTCATCTGCGGCTAAGCTAAAATGGGAGTCTTCTGGAAAGAGTGACATATCATTGTTAAGGGAATAGGATTCAGTGATATCGTTATATTGAGATATTAGTACGCAAAAGTGGTATCAGGTTTGACAGAGGCACATTACATGGAACACTGTAGCTGTTCAAAGTTGTAGACGGAGAGGCCGGAGTTCTGATAGAGCTGATATACTGTGCATGACATGACATTCACCACTCAACCCTCAATATGTAACCAAACCGGTGAAAGATAGAATTCTCCATTGAATTTTTGTGAAAAGTAGCCTCGGTGCCCATGACTGCATGCTGTTGTTGAACAAAATTAATTCCAACGAACATCTACATGGTGACAGGATATAAATACTGTCTATGTCTTCCTGTCTTTTATGTCATGCAAGAAAGATCGTGGTTCTTCCAAATGCCCAATGAAGCGTAAGCCTCGAGGATGATCGACTTCGACGTAGTACGAATGTAGGTTTGATGTGACCCCTTGTATTGGAATTTTCAAAGAAACCAAGAGGCGTTCAGCCGCGATCGACCACATGCATATACATGGAGCAAACTCTGGAGCTGTAGGAGGTTCGTACTCTTCTTTGTACGCATTTGCCCACATGGCAAGGAAGGAGTTGATTATTAAGCGTAGCCAAATTATTGAATATTAAAGGAGAGGTCACCCTAGGTACCGAGTGACATGTATGATTGACAAGAAAAATATATTTATTCAGCTATGAATGATCGAATAGCAAGGTCAGCCACCCTTGGTTGTCACGCAACACCATGAATGAATGGGCTGGATACATTATCGCAGACCCCTATTCTAGTGTGGAAAAGGAGTGGCTGAAATGCAGGTTGCTGCTGTGGTAAAAGGGGTGGGCAAATACATGGTAGTATTGACAAATGTGTACAAGGCCATATATAAGCCAAACTTCCAGGAGGTCAAAAACAGGAAGGTAAATAGATATAAACAGAGATCAAAAAGAGGAGGTTGGAAACAAGGTTGGAAATTGAACCGTTATAGTAGCATAGTTGAACCCCTTCCCAAAACACTCCGTAGTGATAACCGACGACCATGTAGTATACCCGCCTGGATTGGTACTAAATCAAGAACCTATGTACTCCGGTAAAAGAAAACTGGCCTAATCCCAGTGTCGACTGCCTTGTAGATCGGAGTTCTTTTTTTCATCTTTCCTTGTCATGACCACCAACGTTGTACCGTGTTGATGGCAATGAAGACGATATATCCCAGTGTAAACCGAAAAAGGGGGTTGATAAAGGTGGCACTCGCTCATGCATGCGTGGGTGGTGTTATCCGCCTTGTATATAATAAAACTATCTCCTTGGACAGGTGCTGGGTGTTGAACGGTGACATATAAATGCTACCGTATGGTATGATCGTATATTGCCGACGTAAAGGGTGAAGAGTTCGATAGCAGAACGGCGGAGCGAAAGTCGGTCAGGTAAAACGCAAAAACATACGAAGTAAGTACAGGCGAAACGGATCAAAAATATCCTGATAAACGTTGGATAGCCGCACGTCGACCATAACTCATACAGACGCAGCCTCACACCACGCTTGTCCTGTCAGCAACCAAGCCATGGTCTCCCGGATGGGTTTCATGGCCGATGTGACAGCTGGACTGCTAATATCTAGCAGGGCTGGCCGGGGATATGGCACCACTTCTTCTCGACTGCAGAACGGGTCAGGAGTGGCGTTCAGGGTATGTAATCAGAAAGAGTTGACTTACGGACTGGCTCAGGAGCACGAGCCTCTAGCTGAGCTTCGGCAACTTCAGCAGCGGGGGCTGGAGCAGCAATCACAGCTACGGAGGCGGTTGCGATAGCAAGAATGTAGGCGAATACCTTCATGTTGGCTTGTCAAGAAGAAGAATGGTTCTTCGGAATGAAATAAGAGAGTAGATGAAGGATTTGGTGCTTTGTTTCAAGGGCGCTGATCTTGAGGATTCTCGATAAAGGAGATTACTCTGGTATGGATAGCAACACAAGATCCTGCATGGAGCATGCATGGGGTGCTCCTTTATAGAGACACCTCGTGGCAACGGCCTTGGGAGAATTCGCTGAGGGGTTTTCCAGGATTAATTGATGGGAATAAAGCCACAATTACTCAATAGGCCGGGTAGATATCACCCAGATGTTTCTGACGAGCCGCGCTGGAGAACGTGGAGAAGAAAAGCTAGGCCAAATAAGGGGGTATAGTAAATGAAAGGAAAGGAAAGATATCCTAGCTTCAAGTAACCAGAAGGTACTGAACTAGAGATAACGCTGCTAAAGTAGGGAACGGGCCCCTAGTGTTCCGCAGTATCAACTGGAGACATTCACCCAGTCCACCAGCATTTTCAGCCAATGTTGCAGAAGGAATAGAGCGAAATGCCGCAGGCTGCATAAACCTCATAAAGGTGAGTAAGCCAGGCTCCAGATACAATAAAAAGCCTTCCGCCATCCCATCCTCAATAAGAGGTCCAGACGAGACCTCGACCATCCTGATTGACGATGTTGACTTATCAACACGACAGGCTTCCCGTCGACAAAGTGACCGGCATGAACACACCAGAACGCTCGAAGGCCAAAATTATGGAGACAAACCAAGGGCGAGGATGAAAGCCTTTTCGGGTCCGTTTTGGTGTTTCAATCAAAAGAAGCTGCAAGAAGTTCTGCTTATTGAAAAGTTGTGGTTTCCGCTTTTGGGGTTCAATAAGGGCCACCCGCGCTAGTCCTGATTAGGTAATATCTTCACCTCGGCAAAACAGTGGATTAAGAGCAAAGAGATAGATCCATCTGAAGTTGTTTAGACGATACGGCAGGGGATGACAATAAACAGCGCAGTCAGGTGAAGCCTCGTAATGGTGGATTCTCCGTCTGGTGTTGCGTTTTGAGTCCGCAATTTGACAGTTTGAGTTCTTCAATGGTATCAACAAAGGCATTATTCCAGCTGCCCGGGCTTCCGCTGCAGAGCTGTCGAGGTTCTGGACGTCATGGTCTTTGGAAATATATATGCATACGACCATCAATCGGCCAGGGTTCATTCATCTAGAGCTGGTCCCAGGTCTCTGTGAGTTCAAGGACAAGGGATGTTGCCTTGAACGGCCGCAAACGCCCAACAATACGGTCCGGTTGAACGGTCTGCCGCATCCCGGATTCTCTGAAGGCGGGTCCAAGCCATGGTGAAAAGGAAGAGATCCTAGTAAGATGGCTTCATGGACAGGCGTTTGCTTGCCGTGCAAATCCATCTATGTATGAATTTACGGGTGTTTTTGGGATTGAACCGTACTTTTAGGTCCACATGCCGTCAATCCCCCCAAGGAGACTCAGGGAAGCCATAATCCTCCAACTCATACCATCTTCTATCCCTTGACGGTGACTCTTGTCTTCTACCTTATCATTTGTCTCATGAAGTCGACGTCGGGGCATCGCCGACACCACGTGACGTGTTTCGGGATAAAGATGATCCTGGGCTTACATAATTATCCGTGTTACAGGCGGAGAGAGAAGCTCCGGCAGAAAATGCGACTTTGCGAACAAATTTCACCGCAGACAGAAAAAAAAACCCTGAAGCTTCGGTTTTCATATCACGACGTCCAGCTCTTGCGTTCGATGCTTTAGTCGTTCAGACGAGATTCTAAACTGTCTGCCACCATGTTCTCTCTCCGGACTGCTCGCCCTGCGCAGGTATGATATCAGTTCCTATGGCTGCGGTGTCTTATGCCCCGCTAACAGAAGCTCTCCGTTCACACAGTCTGTCCTGCGAAGCGTTGCCGGTTCTTCGTCATGTCTCTCTCGTGCCTCTGGAGGTGCTAGATGTGAGCTATTCCCTGTGATTCCGTGCCATCTGGGGCTTTACTGACTGTTCAATTGGGGTGTAGGCATGGCAACTGTCCAGTCGGACATCTTCAAGCCGACCAAGTATGGCGGCAAATATACAGTAACATTGATCCCAGGTATGTACGCAAAGTTGCGGTTATAACGGTGTCTAGTTCTTTCTAGCACGTAACCGGCCCCTTGTCCTTTTCTTCCTCTCTAGCTTTTGTTTTGGAGCCCGTAGAGGCTAATTACGATTTACAACAGGTGACGGAATTGGTGTGGAAGTTGCGGAATCCGTCAAGACCATTTTCAAGGCCGATAACGTTCCCATTGAGTGGGAACAGGTCGACGTTAGCGGTGTTGACTCTGGAAACAAGCACTCCGAAGATCTTTTCCGGGAATCGATCGCCTCCCTACGACGAAACAAGCTCGGACTCAAGGGTATCCTTCACACCCCAATTGAGAGATCCGGCCACCAATCTTTCAACGTTGCCCTCCGACAGGAGCTGGACATCTATGCCTCTATCGTCTTGATCAAGAACATCCCCGGCTATCAGACCCGCCATAACAATGTTGATCTCTGCATCATCCGTGAAAACACCGAGGGTGAATACTCCGGCCTCGAGCACCAGCCCGTTAACGGAGTTGTCGAATCTCTCAAGATCATCACCCGCGCCAAATCAGAGCGCATTGCCAAGTTCGCATTCAGCTTTGCTCTTGCCAACAACCGCAAGAAGGTCACCTGTATCCACAAGGCCAACATCATGAAGCTTGCGGACGGTCTCTTCCGAAGCACTTTCAAGAAGGTTGCTGAGAACTACCCGACTCTGGAAACCAATGACATGATTGTCGACAACGCCTCTATGCAGGCTGTCTCTAGGCCTCAGCAGTTCGATGTCATGGTCATGCCCAACTTATACGGTGGTATCCTGTCCAACGTTGCTGCTGCTTTGGTTGGGGGCCCTGGAATCGTTCCCGGATGTAATATGGGACGAGATGTTGCCGTTTTTGAGCCCGGTTGCCGCCACGTCGGTCTCGATATTCAGGGTAAGGACCAGGCTAACCCAACCGCCTTGATCCTCTCTGGTTCCATGCTCCTCCGTCATCTCGGATTGGACGACCACGCCAACCGTATCTCCAAGGCTGTCTATGATGTTATCGGTGAAGGGTAAGCTATTCTTCCAATCCTACTTTTTAGATTTAATCTAACTAACACTGCTCGATAGTGCTGTCCGAACTCGTGACATGGGCGGTCAGGCCACTACCCACGAATTCACGAGGGCCGTCCTCGACAAGATGGAGGCCCAGCTCTAGACCCCATTCGCTACCACATTTAAGTCGCCGGCCGTTAATATAATAAGACAAAAGTCCGCCTTGCATCTAAAGTAAATAAGCGCCCCCCTGATAGCGAAACGTCGTTAATCAACCCGCACCACAACCTTGGTTTCCCGAAACATCATATATCTGCCCATCTATTTGCTACTCTTTTTGAAGTACGGGATTTTTTCTTTTTCCTTGCTGTTAAATGATCCGCTCGAAGCATGACTGTAGATTAAGATTTTTCCTGTATTGTTTTGATTGCCCATAGCGATAATACAAAAAAAAGGAGATATAATTTCTAGTGGAACTCATTTGTACGGGGTGGGAGACCCGGGGGTGTTAACGGATAGAAAGAATACTTTAGACTTGGTTTGAATGTTAACGTGGATTGTACTTTTGTTCGGTTCATATTGAAAATTATTGAATATGATGATAGATGGACGGATGTCTGGTGTTCCTTGTTTATACAAGGTATCTGATAGCTACGCCGTCTAATGTGTTTTATGTATATCCCTTTATGGTATATAAGACGGAAAAAGATGGCGTGAGTATATGCACCATATTTTGCCGGTTGCGGAACTGCTGTCAGCCGTGGGAAGAGCCGGTGTATTGGTAGCATTGTGCATAATGACGGGTGGTCACTTAAAAAGGGGAATGGACTCCTAAGCATAGAATGCTTATCGGATACTCCCTCACGGCCCCGAGGCGAGCCGCATGCGGTTTCGTCACCGGCACCAGTGCGAGTGCGTGGTGGAATTATCCAGCAGTTGCGATTCGGTTATCAGCCCAAAGCAGCGAGCAAAAGGTAGATGTTGAGTACTGTAGCCGCGAGAACCTGATCAAAATGCAATTCGTCTCTTTCTCCCGGTATATTTCGAGCTGGCCTTGACGACCTTGCCCTTTTTCTCCATCTGGTCTTTCTTCCTCAATATCCAGGCTTTGGTTCCCTTGATATGTGATTGATCCGGGCCCCTACGGCTCTTTGCTGCCTCCCTAGCCTTCCGTCTTGCATCCAAGATATCCACGTCGTCCATTCCCTTGACGACACCAGTGATATCACCCTGTAGCCCACCTCCACCAACCGTAAGAACAAGGTAGGTTTTCCCGTTCTTTGTGCCAGGGTCATCTTCAAGGATACCTGCGCCGAAACCAGCTTTTATTGCTGCGCCGCTAATCATACCTCTTTGAGAATCGTTTTTGGGATAGAACTGACACACAGCTCTGGCACCGCGTTTAAGAGAAGCATATAGACCTTCAAAAAACCGCTTTAATCTGCCTTCTGGACTGACATCGCTGGTCTCAGCATTACAGAGCCACTGGATTGCACTGATGCTTATGGCTGCGTCAAAGGTACCAGGTCTGAACGGTACGCCTTGCCCAATGTCGGCTAGAAAGAGGTCGCCTTCTACGTCCCGTTGAAGTGCCACATCGAGCATGCTTGGAGATATATCCATGCCAATCCAGGTGTGTGGACCGCCTTCAGACGGGTCGACGGACGAGAGAATTTCACCAGACAGGCCTGAACCGCACCCGACATCTAGAATCAGCGAGGGAGACGTGAGTTCGAGCAGTTCGAGGGCACGGTGTGTCATTTCAGATTGAATATTTTTTATTCGAGAGGAAGATGTGTATTTACGGGACTCCGAATCATTATAGAACAGGTCCGGCGGGCTGTTTTCAAACCAGTCAGCAGCTGTCTTGTAGATTGAAATCGGTGCAGACATACAGAGTATCTTCTGGGCGAGACATGTTTGCGCCTTGGAGGTGTCAGAACTGAATAATGTGGTATCCTCTAAGAGTAAATCTCCTGTAGAATCCGTATATACACTTATCACTTCTATCTCTTCTCTCCGTCTGTATCTTTTTCTTCTTTTTCTCCTTGTCAAAATTTCGAGATAAAAATATTTCGTGGGGGAAATAAGCTTTCTAAAGCGGCGTGATATATATACCGTGTTGGTCAAGTATACAGTGCCGCTTTAGCTAACGAGCTATCTGGCTGTTTTTATCGCTTTCGACAAGTTGTTTGTATAAGACGAAGAAGAACCAAAAGACAAGACATGGAGAAGTGATACCTCGGATGGCGCCTGTTAGGAACCCATAGAATACCCTCAAGCGAAGAGTGGCTATACCGGAAATCCTCCTTATCCTGTCAACTTCACCTCATCTATAAACTCAACCATGTGGATTCTACCACTATTAGGATATCTGGGAGTGATAATAGGATTCTGCTTCCTGACGCTGGCTATAGGTGATATTCTCTCTATCATACCCTCCCTATGTATATATTGTCCAGCAGCTAACGTATCACAGCTTCTGGCCTCTACTACCTCTCAGAGCTAGTTGAAGAACATACCGTAATAGCCCGTCGTCTTCTAACAAGACTTATATACTCCATCATAGCCGTCCATGTCCTTCTCTGGCTGATAGACGGATTCCCATTCTACCTGTCCGCACTCAGCATAATCTCCCACCTAGTCTACGCCGGCAACCTTCGCCGGTTCCCAATCGTCAAGCTCTCCGATCCTATCTTCCTAGCTTCCTGCGTCCTCGTCGGTCTAAATCATTGGCTATGGTTCAGATATTTCTCAAGCCCGGAATATACCTCTAGCGGTGGCAGTGCCCCCTCATCATGGAATCGTGGTGGATGGAAGTCTCCTGGCGGAGGGTCGAGTTATAACTACTACGGTGCGGCAGTGGATACGCCGTCGTTTGGTGAGATAGCGTCGTATTTCGGACTGTGTGTCTGGATGATCCCGTTTGCGCTGTTTGTCAGCCTAAGCGCGGGCGAGAATGTATTGCCTAGTATGGGATCGGAATATGCGACTGGGTCGATGGGATCGAGTGGTGGTGCATCAGTTGGCGCGGATGCGTATGGGGAGAGCTCCTCTAGCTCGGTGAAGACGAAGAGCAAAGGGATGGCAAAGGCGCTGGTTGATGGCGCTAGGGAGTGGGTGAGTGAGAGCGGAGAGTTGATGGGATTCTGGGGCGGCCAAAACACGAGAAGGTTCTGAGTCGGCCTGCTGGTTTTCTTCCTTGTCTTTTTATCATCGTCTTACGTGGATCGTGGATGCTGCTTCCAGCAGTGATGAATTGGCATAACAGGCGTATTATCATTGACTGATGGTGTATATTTACAACTTGCATTTTTCTTTTGCTCACTTTGGCGAACCTGGTTTGGTCTCATCATCCTGGCGAACAAGTAGTAATCAAATACTATATTACTTCTTTACCTGATAGCAAGTAGCAGCAAGAGTAAAAAAAAAGAATTAACGCCTCTGCATACTATCTTATGTGCATATAGACAAGATATCAATTGTATCAAGGCTAAACCAGTTAACCAACAGCCATGATCGAGGACATATTAAGAGTGGAAGAAAGAAACATAGAAATGGGGTATATCCGTTTGTCTCCAGTATTAGAGAAAAGGAAAAGAGCGTAAAAGGATGCCTGTGGACGGAGCGCTTGCACAGAGGGAAGAAAGAGAACTTGAATAGGGGCGATTATGAAATTACATGATGAGAGTAGCAAGATAGATTAATAAAAAATCATAAAGGCCGCCCAATTTAAGCAAACGATTGAAGATGAACAAGGCATAATAGAAGGCAGGAAAGAGAAGCAAGGAAAAGAAGGGATGAGAGGGAAGGACAGATATTCGCTTGCTCGCTTGCTTAGCGCACATGCGATCTCAAAATTCAGAAAGCAGAAAAAAGATGGAGAATGGCAATGTAGATGGAAGGGTATGGTCGGATATGCCGGATAAATAAGAAAATAAATGGCAAGGTCATAAATCACTCTTCGTCGCGAATCTTGGGCAAGGAAGGCTTCCTGCTTCCAAGAGACATGAACAACAACGAACTCTCACGGCGCTTTGTTTTGTTCGTTTGCGATGAGTTGCCTGATGGCGCCAGCATTCCATCCAAACCACCGAACTGGCCATCTCGTTGGCCCTGGTGGGAAAGGTTGACACTTGCATTCATTGATGACGTGGAAGGGTCAAATTGGTGCATAGGCACAAAACCGGCGTTGATATCGTAGGTTTCTTTTGCATGTCGATAAACATTTGCATTAGCGTCATTGGATTGGCCATGAAATGAGCTCTGGTCATATGCAGGTGTACATGGAAGATCGGAAAACATTTGATGTCGTGGGGAGCGTATGTCCTCCGCACCCAGACCCGAAGGTTCGGTGGCTTCAGTAGAGTCAGGGCTTCCTGGCCCTGAGCCCGAGCCTGGAGCTGTTCCCGGGGGAGAACCGGGAGATGAGCCGGGAGCTTGGGCGAAGGGTGGTGGAGTATCGCCAAATATAAGATCAAAGTCCGATAAGAATAGAGAGAAAACAGGGGCAGGGATGTTAAGGGTTGGAGCAAAAACTATGCCGACGTTTCTAACCGTCATCTTATTGATATCGGAATTGTTCACAACATTAATTAGGAATTCGGATAGGGCTTTAAGGAGGGCTATATTTGGCTTTGGTAGATGGTGGACCAATGCATGGAAGGCTGCAATCTTCTTCTGCTTGTCATCGAGATCTGCCGTTTGGTTAGTATATGGCAATGGTTGCGAGTAAATAGCCGTTTTAAATAAGGGAGCACATACCTAAGACCCTAATGAAATCAAGATGCAGCTCCTTGGTCAACACTGTAGTTGGCAACTCTCGAAGGTATTGCTTAAATAATGACGCTACAGCATGGACGTCATAATATACATCTCCTTCTAGGAAATCCAGATCTCCCTCGTTATTAAAACGCTCCTTGAGCCCCTTGATAACTACATTAGAGCCGCTGAGACGGAATATACCTTCTTCACACTCCGCTTTACGAGCCCGAAGATATTGAAGACATCGATAAACGACAGCAGGCAAAGTGGTATCGGCTCCTGGTTCAGGGCATGCACAGAATTCCACCGCCTCAGCAAGAGGCAGCCCAAATACAGCACGCACAGTTTCCTTGTGTTCAAGAGAAGATGCACTGCCATTCACACCTCCAGATATAGAACCATTTATTCCGCTAATTGAATCCTGTCGTGAAGTCGAGCTAACGGAATCACTGGCGGCCTGGCGGGAAAATCCCCATATGCTTCGCTTCTTTTCCTTGACGGACGGCATAGTGCTAGGCTTATTACCCCATGCCGACGGATCCTGGATTTTTACTCCGTTAGTAGGGCCCGAAATCGGTTTAAATGAAGGGGTTAACGGCCCGGCTTGGTCGCCATGGGATTGTGGTGCAGCTAGGGAGTCGGTGGATTCGTAGCCCGGAGGCGCGCCGCCTCGGATGGGTGCTTCGGCAGCAACGACATCATCATAGCTTAGGGCGCGAAGTCCATCAGCCTCAGTATTGTTGGAGGAGTCTTTAGAAGATCCTTTTTTACTTGAGCTCGTGTTTGCGCTTGTGGTATTCAGGGGTATGCGGGGTTTGTTTGTTGTTTCATCTTTGCCGTCTTTGTCCATCTGCTTTTCCTTATCTTTATCATCGTCTTCCCCCTCAATGTGCTGCTCAACATGGCTGAGAAGTGAGTCAACCCAAGCATCTCTCTCTTCGTCGCTTTCAGCACAGAGAACATGGCGAACCAGAGAGCTTGAGTCTTTCTTTTTCGGTTCCAAAATCAAAAACGCATGGCGGTACTGGTTATCATCATAGCTCTCGGCCTGCGAGGATGATGTACCATTTTTGCTCTGATTAGAGGATTGCTTGCCTATCTGTGCACGCTGGATGCGGATAGTACCTAGGTGTGTACCACCAGGGTGCTCATAATACTTCAATTCAGGTCCGTGAAGAACAAAGTATCGAGATTTCCAGCCGCCAAAATTTTTGCCTCGCTTGGTAAGATATCCTTCCATCTTTGGCTTGCCGTCGGTGCCTACCTGGATCGTGGCCTTTATATCGCTTGCACCAGCAGAAGAGGAGTTGACATTTCCACCTGCAGACACAAGACTTGTCTCGTCATCTCTCGGCTCAATGGCATCGGTCGTGAGGAATCGGCATATCACCAGCGCGGCCTCGTCATCCATGGGTGTATCAAGTAGCATTTCGAAATAGTTGTTTAGTGCTGCGCGTCTCTCATCAACCTTTGCAGGCGAATGGCCACTGAATACTGAGCGATCTGGTATTCGACCAGCGAATTTACAGAGAGCCTTTACCTGTTGGTCGAGCTGAGGGAGAGCAACTATAGGCTTTTCAACACGCCAAAGCTCTAAGCGAGACGAGCGGGCAAAAACACTGAGAGTGAATACGGGGTCTTCCTCAAGGTTACCGCGTTCTCCGGAGGAGGATGAATTCGTGTTCATGTAACTTTGTCGCGACGGGCGGAGACGAGATGAAGAGACCTGTATTAGGATCGATGGGAGTGAGTTGGGTGGGAGAAGTAGATCTGGGTATTCATCCGATATGAGGCCACGGTAGATGGTCTTTGGGGCAGTAGCAGCGGTGGGGGTCGAGCTATCAATCTGCACAGCAGGGTCGATAGCGGGAATTGTGGTAGATGTCGATGTGGAAGTGGAAGTAGAGGCCGTGGACGCCTTTTTCTCGTGCTGTGCTAGTTGATGGATGTGGTGATTGGTAGGTTGCTGCGATTGAGACTGGAAGGGAGCTGGGAAGGCATTGCGAAGAGGCGTTGAGATGTTCATATGCCCTTCTCTAGGCATACGAGGCATAGGTGACCCAATAGGTCGGTCACCAGGTCGTGGACTCTGTGGCAGTCCTGGACTCATGGGCGGTGCCTTGATTAGCCTTGATCTCAGCGACTTTCCGCCATCTAGAGGGCCCAACACAGATGCTAGGCTCTGTCCTGCTTGTCTGGCGGCATGAGGAGGCGACACGGACGCTCGTGGACTAGCTGGCAATCCGATACCTGCAAATCCAACGCCTGATGCAGGGCCAGTCCTGGTCTCCTTTTGTTCCTGTTCCTTGTGTAGGGTTATAGGGGGGTTGATGTTCTTGGGTTTCTTGTCCGATTGACTACGGCCCTTTGACTTTGATTTCGACTTTGATTTCGACTTAGATTGTTCTTTCTCCTTTTGCGCAAGTAAGGCTTCTCTCAGCCTGTCGTCTTCTTCACGGGTCTTTCGACGACCGCGTTCAAAGACCGGGAGGTCGGCATCTTCGGTGGCGGAGTCGTATTCGGAATCTGATGCGACTGCATTGGTGTTGGTGTTAGTGGACTGATTATTAGAATGGTCTACTTCGATATGAGGGCGGAGACGCTGACTTCCAGACAGTTGTAAGGGCGCAGGAGGTGCGCGGCGTGAGGGTGGAGTTGGTTGTGGTTTGGGAGTCAATTCAGACACGGGTGTTTGAACCGGCGGTTGGGCCGTTGCTAAACTTCCCTCTTTGTCGCCTCTTTCGAGCTGACCGTTGGAAATTTTGGCTCCGTTGCCATCAACCGCCCGGGTGGCATCTTCCTTCCACTTTTCCAGTTCCTTGACCTTCTTCTTTAGCTTGTCCTTGTCTTCCATGGCACGTTCTAGATCCTTATTAAGCGCCAGGACCATACGGCGCTGCTTTTCCACGAGTCTCCATAGTTGCGAATTCTGAGAGACAGCCTGCTGTTTCTCTTTGACAAGGTGGGCGATAACAGCCTCCGGAGAGCCGTTGGCGGCTGAAATCAGGTTACTGATTTCTGCGGGAGTGATGGTGGGGTTGTCGACGGATGATTTGTGCGAGTGAGATGTTGGGTGGGAGATGGAGGAGAGAGAGGAGATGGCAGAATCTATAGAAGAAGTGCGCGGTGTGGGTTTCTGTGTCGAAGTTGACAATGTCTTGCTGGTGGAAGCCGGCGGCTGGTGGTTTGCGGTGCTGGTAGGCATGATAGGCGATGTATTGGGTGTAGACATCGAGGCAGAATCTGACGGCGAGTGGGAGTGTAATGTATCGTCCTTTTCTGCTGTAGTTCCCTTCCGCTCCTTTTCCCTTTCTCCCTCCGGTTCGCTGGTCAGCGGCTCCCTGGACCGCTGTAGACGTAGAGAAAGCGCCTGGCTGGGCCCCTGGCCCTGGTGCTGGCCCGCCATGCGCTCGTGGAAGTAGAGAGCGGAAGGGGAAGGAGATAGGGAGGAAGACGGGCTAGTTCTGTCGTGAGGTTGCGAGAAGGTCGGTGCCTGGGTCTGGCGGGGGAAAGAGGAATAGGAGACGGAACTATCCAGTCTGGCGGCTAGAGAGGTAGTAGAAGAAGAAAGGGGAGTCGCTGCAGAAGGAGGTGATGAAGGGTGTGATGCGGCCCCCGTCTGAGGAAGAGTACGTTGAGAGTGGGCTAGTCTGCTATCGGTATGGATGTTCAGGGCATCCTGGGGCAGACGGGGCTGTTGCTGTTGGTTTTGCTGCTGTTGATGGTGAGAATAGGACGGGTGCAGCGCATGGATAGAGACTGGACGAGACAGCACGGGAGCGGCTGAGTAGCGAGCAGGGGCACCGCCTTCTTTCTTCACCTGATATGGATCCTGCTGCGTATACTTTTGCCGGTACTGGCTGCTCTGCTGCTGACGAAGACTCCCACCACCAATCTTCAGGGGGGAAGACGAAGCAGAAACAGAAGAAACAGAGGCAACAGAAGCAGCAGAATCAATTGGTGGGACCGGGGCTGTTTCGTGACAGGATGGGCCTGGCTGCTGTGCAAGGGCGTGTGCCAGGGCATCTTGACGCTGACGCCGGACATACGACATGGTTGAGATACAGCGCACACTATTCTCTCATAATAAAATAATATCTGACAGGAGTAAGATGTGTTCTCGGAAGATGAGAAGGAAAAGACGAAGAGAGATGGGCTTCTTTTGGCTGGCTGGTGGCTCAGGGGCTCAAAGACGGCGCCATCAAGGAACTAAGGCATGTATAGCTAGCGGAGATAAAATCGATTAAAGTATGCTAAATATGGAGTCCCTCCGTGCGAGCCTGCACAAGCAGTTCGTTAGCAGAGACGAAGCAGAGACGAAGCAGCGCAGATGTCTTTTCCTACCTGGAGATTTTGCTTGTAGATGAAGTTGATAAAAGTCGAAGTCGAAGAGTTGAGGTTGTTTATTTCCCGATCAGGCGACGCAGTCACGCTTTTTCTCCTCTTGACCTCAACTTCAACCGCTACAACTTCTACAGCTACAGCTTCTACAGCTTCTACGGCTTCTACGGCTTCGATTATAGATATCAGCTCTTCAGATCCTGCAACTTGCAAGACATACATCGACGAACTATCTCACACACGACTGGTTGCAGCACTTTGTGGCGTCAACTGGCCCATTACACATGCATTACCAGCCTGCATGCTGCACGTCTTAGTGGGACGCTGGTTTATGTGCACAAGCAGGCATAAGAATAGGAGCTCAAAGGGGCTGGGTCGAGACAGGTCGCAAAAAAGTGAAAGACTGGGGAAGATCGGAAGAAGGAAAAAAGAATACGAGGATGTGGGAACTGCTGGCTTCCACGCTTCTTGTGCTGCCAAATCTCGTATTTATTTCGTGGGAGGCGGCGGTGGCGGAAGAATGGAGAAAGAAAGTGACAAAAGGTCTTGACAGATGCTTGTTATGCATGATTAAGTAAAAGCATTGCGTAAAATGCAGGTTTCGTTTGACATTAGAGCTGATTCTTTCTTTTTTAACAGACGTTTCCTCGCCATATATCATCCCTGGGTCCCATATCGAAAGCAACCGGAACGCCGCAAGAAGGGAAAGAAATGAAGCTAAGATACATAGAATACAGAAAACAAAAACAACCCCAGCTCCGACCTGCCAGTTACGGAAAAGATAAGGCCGTGGTGAGTAGAGTGTGGGTAGGTGATGGGTCTAGATTATATTACCAGCCATGCCCATGAAGATGGCCTGCGCGGCGAGCTGGAGAGACCATAGCCCGACCTTCTTGAAACGCCGTGTTCGAGCCTGCTCGTCGACAACGTCTCGCGCAAAGGCATCGTACGTCTGCAAAAGTCTCAGGTCAGTGTATTGCAAGATTATTATATTATGCACAAAGGAGTAAGTACTCACCTCGGCGGATAGATCGTCCATCAATCCGCTGTCAAAGATCGTCCAGCTGCCGTCAAAGTCGCTGGCTCGTTTGACGAGCCGACACTGGATAGGTATAAAGGTTCGACGACTGTTGATGTATGCTACAATGGGCCGGATAAGCGCATTGTTGACGTACGATAGATCTCGGTTGAAGATGGGAACTACTGCTCGAACGTTGTTCAGATGTATACGCAGGTCAGTGACCACGAATCGCTTATCGTCTTTACTATGGGCCAGCGTGCTGTCATTAGGCTGGTACCTGTCAGAGGTAACAGTGGCTTCCATCCTGTCATAGAAATCGGACATGACTTTGCCCAAGCTCTCGTCAGTCTCGGCTGGAAGCATGAGATCGGCCACGATATCGACGGTTCCCTCGTGAATCCATGAGAACGGACCTTCGACGCCTGTGTTGAGATGGTCGATGTTCAGCCCGTCGATGCGGATGCGATTGTGCTTCTTCCACGGACTTGGGCTGCCGTCTTCTTCCAGACCATCCTGTAGCTGGGCTCCCGTGTATCGATGTGTCTGGCGCGGGTGGATGGTGAAGAGTGAGTTGTCGTACGAGCCAGACATTATGTTCGCGGACATAAAGTCGTAGAAGAGCCATTGTCGTCGTAGTCGTGGTAGATCGCAGGAGAAGATACTGAGGGTGAAGGGTCGGAAGTTGTTCGGCTGGTAGATGGTGACTAGTACGTCTTCCATCTTGAACGAATCTAGCTCAAAGTCGCCTGGGTTATGTTCTACCCGGTAGGATTTAGGGTCGATCTGGGCATCAGCCTCAGTCCACTTGACGTGTGTTCGGTCAACAATACCCCGGATGCCCTTGACGTGCACATCCTTTAGCAGGCCGTGGCTGTTGAACCATTTGGTGAAGGAGAGCGTCACGTTGACCGTGTCTATAGAAACATCAAATTGTGTATAATTGGAGTCCTCTGTCTCATCATCGTTTTGTTGGCGCATGTGGTCCATTTCCTGGAATGCGGCCGCCGCAGCTGTCTTTGACGACCCTTTGCTCACATTCCCTTTTCCCTGTCCTGGCCTGCGAGATACAAAAACGTTCTTGAAAGTAATCACTCCGTCACCCCATTTGGGCACAATCGCAGATTCGAAAACGACTTTTACTCCCGAAGACCGTGTTAGGTAGTTACCAATCCATCTTGCAAGGGTTTCTAGTTCGCCGTCAGTTCATGCACACGCCTAGACTTGAAATATACAGTAACTCACCTTGCGCAAAAACAGTGTTAATAGTAAATATTATGAGGGAGAAGAAGGTAGTTGTCCCCAGTATAACCCACAGCACATGTCCGAGCAGGACCCAGGAGAAAAAAGTACCAATCTCGTCAACGTTGAATGGCCGGGCGCTCCTGATAGAAAACCACTTGAACCGAACTTTTAATCTGGACCAGAAGCCTGTGGCTGCAGCTAGAAGCTCTTCCTTCGTGGGTCGATGCATATGTGGCAGCCGATCCATCAGATGGTACCGACCGTGTCCACCATCGGTCTTTGGCGGCCCAGAGGGCGGTACTGATCCAGGCTCTGGCTTCACTGCGTCTCCCTGTACGCTGGATGGCTGTGAAGGCTGCTGTCTGCTAGACTCCACTGCATGGTCCTTTTCGCCTCCTACCTCTCCCCCCTTGGATGTATGCAGACATCGCCTCCATCCCCAACTGGCGGCACTCTGAAGCCCCAGCGCATTCCCAAACCTCCTGCTACCATGATAAACACTCTTCTCAGCGGATGCAACCACACAGGCTGCTGCTCCCGTCTCGACCGTAGCTGCACTCCTCGTTGACGTTGTACCAACCACCAACAGTCCTCCGGACGCAAACTGACGACTTATTTTCCTCACATTCTTTGGCTTCGAGTAGGAGAAACGCCGTATCGTTCTATTCCGAAACAGATTGAAGCTGGATGTCGGGCCATGGCAGCTCTCTGTAAAGGCACCGAGAGCACCTTGCCGGCTGGGCTGGATGAAGTTGGACTGGAAGCTGATGCCGGTGCGCAGTGTCGAGAGCAGCCGTCGTCCTATATGGCCAGACATGTCTCCTGTGGCATCATGAAAGTCTGTGAGAAGCGTCTCAGATGCTTGTTATCTAGAATTGATGTCTTGTTCTTCCAGCGAGAAGCTAAAACGTCCAGGATTTTTTTTGAAGCTTCCGCAAGTTTTTTTTTCCCCGATAAGATTGCGATGTTTGGCTTGTTTGCATCGCGAATTTTCCCACCACCAAAAAGCAAGAAACATTTTATATTCACGATTTCATCTGGTTTTATTGAAAGAAAGCTGGCATTTGTATTTAATATATTACAGACAGCGGTAGATATACCGGAAACATGCCAGCTCCTACCGCGCGCCTAGACAAGCAAGAAGAGAGCGAGCTCCCCGTTCAGAAGCAAGCCCAGAGTTTGTCTCCTAGAGATTTCTTATCACCAAGACGATATACTGACTGGATGGTGTAGATGAAGAAGATATCATGATAGACACGACTGGTGCTCAACCAGAAGAGCCCTTAGCACCACCGCCACAGGACCAGGGAGACAGTGAAATGGCTATTGACGAGGAAGGACGACTACGCTTCACCCCCATCAAATCATCGGGCGACGCATATCGAGTTGAAACTCGCAAAGTACCGATCCCCCCTCATCGTCTGACGCCTCTCAAGGCCGAGTGGCCAAAGATATACCCTCCGCTAGTCGAGCATCTGAAGCTCCAAGTACGCATGAACATGAAGAATCGAGCGGTCGAGCTGCGTACTTCAAAGCACACGACCGACACGGGAGCACTACAAAAGGGTGAAGACTTTGTCAAGGCGTTCACTCTTGGGTTTGACGTTGATGATGCCATTGCCCTGCTCCGACTGGACGACCTCTACATTGAGACTTTTGAGATTAAAGATGTAAAGACACTGAACGGCGAGCATCTGGGCAGAGCTATTGGTCGAATAGCGGGGAAAGATGGAAAGACAAAGTTTGCTATTGAAAATGCTAGCAGGACTAGAGTTGTGCTCGCAGACCAGAAAATACATATTCTAGGAGGATTCAGAAATATCCATGTTGCTAGGGAAGCAATCGTTAGCTTGATCCTGGGCAGCCCTCCGGTAAGCTGGCTCGTTTTATGTGTCTTGGTATGAATTATGACTAACGGTCTGGTATAGGGCAAGGTATACGGAAACCTGCGTACTGTTGCGTCACGAATGAAGGAACGATTCTAAGAAAAATAGTAGCACACGAATTCGGTCTCATGTCGGCGTTTTGGTTTTGCACGGTGATATCTTTTTTTTGATGATATGGAATATATTGGGACTAGGCGCGAATACCTATATCATGGGATTTAGACAAAAGAAATACAATCAAGTCTCAAACACGAGAGCATTAGGAGGTACATTTGTGTCATAATAAAACTTCATCGTTTGGCCGCAGGAAAGAAATGTGCCGGTAATATTGTCTATTAAAACATGCCTAATCCCGCTTGAGTGGGCGGTACACCTCCTCTATACCATCCTTGGTAACAATCATCATTTGCAGCCCGTCGCCGACCTCAATATGCCTCTCCACGGAGCTTGTGAATGCATCGTGTACCAGCTGCTGTGCACCCTCTCTGGATAGAGGCTCCGGCTTCCTAGGGACCGAGGCATTACCCTGGCCGCTACCGGCAACATACTGGTTCTTGAAATTGACCTGATTGTCCAAGAAAGGCATCATCAAACTAGCTGCTGACCCAGCTGCCCTGCAGAACTCCCTCTCATACGAACCCACTGGATCGTAACTGTACAGAGCCCCTTTGCCTTCCTCATCAACACCGGCCAAAATCGCGTGTACGTAGTATGGGAAGAAACGTTTCGAGTATAGGATGGTGGATAGGCGCTGTGCACACGCTCTGACGGACATTGGTTTGTTGTGGTGATATTCGTACATCTTGACGATGGCGTCAAGTCGTTCTTTCAGAGCTCGACCGTCAGCGGAGAAGCCAACGACACAGAGAATCATGTGGCCGCCTTCTCCGGTATGCTCGTCTGCACCGATCTTGAACACCTTAGGTGCGTATCTGGTGTTGATGTTGTATCCAGACACCGACCGTGTGTCGCCAGCCAGAATAGCGAAATTGTCACCGGCTATGCCGAGAGTAGAGCCGCCATTGTCGGTATATCTAATGAATAACATATATTAGCTTATATCCTACCCAACAACTAAGCTCCAGGAAGGACCTACGGGTAGAAGCTGTGTTGTTTGGCGCCGCTCGACTGCTCTGAGAACGAGTACCCAATGGGCTGGCTGTGAGGTTCAGGGTGGGCTAATAGAGAGTTCATCTTGACAAAGCTCGCCAAAAGCAGGACAGAACAGCAGCCTTATAAGAATATAAATGCAAGTGTGTAAACCTGGGTATTGCTCGTTGTTTGAACCGTTGAATTTGCTGAACTTGCTGGCTTTGTTGATTCTTCTTGAAGCTCTTCAAGCTTTCGTTGACGCAAGTTCGGAGCCTACATCACGTGATATTTATCTATTGTATTATGTAAGCCATGCTTTTTCTCTCCCCAAGCTTAGCTTGTTTAAATAAGAGCAAGACATGCTGGATAAGACTTGTTAATAAAAGCTGTTACGGCATTACTAGTTGGCCACTTTTTTGCGTGAGTAATGCTTGGGTTAGGTTCCTATGAAAGCAGCAGTGATGATGAGAGCACGAACAATACCTCTGTCGGCGTAAAGAGGACGACAGCAACAGTTGATCGAACGAATAGCTGTGATAGCTTGATAGATGCGCAGCCTCCGTTCATGAAGTCGGGTGAAGATACGGCAAATGAAGTAGAGGGTAAGCCTACATCAATTTCATGGTTTGGATGATCTATCTCACTCGCAGTTGCCTAGGAACAAGCGTACCAACAACCGGTCCGGTCCACGAGTTAACCAAGCCCATAGTCGGGCCTCTCCCACAGACTGATTTTACACCACATCTACCGGAAGGGTCTGCTGAGGCTGTCAAACCATCATCTTTCATCTCCGTCAGCTCACTACGCCGAGACATGACGCTCCCTCCGTTCCCAAACCTGGACATCCCTCCATCTCCTCCTGGATCTCCCAACCCAGAAATGAACCAGAAATTTGAACATTTCCTTGCGCTGAAGAAAGAAGGCGTGCATTTTAATGAAAAGCTAGCTGCTTCCTCGTCACTCAAAAATCCAAATCTACTGCAGAGCCTGATGAAGCATGCTGGGTTGGACGAGGGGGCGCAATACAGTACTTCTCTACCGACAGAGCTATGGGACGTATCGACTTTTCCTTCATGGGCTTACAAGTATGAGTTGTTAAGGAGCCAGCAGATCATCCGCCGTAAGCAGGAGGAAAAGAAGTCTGATCGTGATGCTATTGAGTTTGTCCCTGGCTCTGGAAATGGCACTCCTGGAAGCGGCAAGCTAAAATCCAGTGCGGCAGAGCGTGTCATGGCTGGCCTGAGTCGAGAACCGTCCCCGCTTAAGCTGGATCAGAGCAAACGAAGTGATCAGGACAAACGTCACAGAAGGATGGATTTAGAGCATAGAAGACACCGTTCACGGTCACCTGGGAAAAGGAGGAGGTCTAGGTCACGATAGGATTAATATTCTTATATTTGAGCATTCGGGAGTTTCAGGTGCAGCTGGAAAATAAAATATACCCAGGATAGGCGGAATTTACATATATCATTACCGAAATATATACTTATCATCGTAACTTGCATCTTCTTTGGTCGTAAATTGTGGTGAGCTTGCAGTAAACATGTTTGGCTTGTTTGACTTCTAGGCTGCGTTTAAGTCGCAAGCTCTCAACCCCAAAACCTCACAGCGTCCAACAATCACAAGACAAACCATCCAGCAACAAAACCACGACCCATACACAGTGACTCCATTGCTGGCTCTCTATTCTAGTTGTTTGGTACTGGAGTTACTCGCTCTCTTTTTCTCGTTAAAGCCTTTCTCCGACTATACATCATGAACCACTTTCCTGAAGCTTGGGGCCGGGTAAGCACAAGGACAAATCAAACCCATACCAGCTTCCTTTAGCTAACGTTTCCTCTGTCTTAGCCGCGAGATGATGTGTACGGAGCCTATGACCGCTCATATCTACAGACCTCGGGCCCAATGACCCATACTCAACGCCCAATCGTGACTGGAACCTCTGTTATTGCTGTCAAGTTCAAGGACGGGGTCGTGATAGCTGCCGACAACTTGGGTTCGTAAATATGATACGGAATATAGCGCAGTATCTCAGATATACTAATAGGCCTGCACCAGCCTCCTATGGCTCCCTTGCTAGATTTACCGACGTAAAGCGTCTTCGGGCTTTCGACAACTCCTCCGTGGTTGGGTTTGGTGGTGACGTCTCTGACATGCAGTATATTGACCGCGTCTTGAACTCGCTAGACATACAAGAGAACTATTCCACATATGGCGAACATTCTCTCAACGCCAAAAATCTGCATACATACCTGTCCAAACTGCTCTACAAGCGACGATCCGACTTTGACCCTCTCTGGAACCATATTCTTGTTGCCGGACTCGATGGAGAAGGCAAGCCATTCCTTAGCTCTGCAGATTTGCTAGGAACCACGTACTCTGCACCATCTCTCGCTACAGGATTCGGAGCGCACTTGGCTATTCCTATTCTTCGTCGATTATTCCCAGAGGAGGATGGAATAGAGAACATCACAAAGGAGCAAGCTATCGATGCTATGAAGCAGTGTATGAAAGTATTGTTCTATCGAGATGCGAGAAGTTCGGACAGATATTCGATTGCAGTTGTTACCAAGGAGGGAGTGGAGCTCAAGGAAGACGAGGCGCTGGAGAACCAGAGCTGGGCTTTTGCTGATAGGATTAGGGGTTATGGCACTCAAGTCAACTAAACAGGGATAGCCTTTTATGTTCCGGCGCGGTGTAATTTGGTATTCTTCAACCCTGCGGTAGAATTTTCAAATATATCTAGGGTTAAATCGTGATGACCTTATCTTGACGCTTATAAATATACATCTCTACAGCTTAGAAGTATTAACGTGAACAACCTTGTTGCCGCATGTTCCAACATTTTCGAGTGACACTTCCACCATGTCTCCGTTCTTTAACCATATCTGAGGTTTCCTCCCCATTCCAACTCCTTGAGGTCTATAGTAGTTTTCTTCGTTAATCATCTTGGCTTCAAACATGTAGTATATATGATAGGGTAACTCACGTTCCAGTGAAGATGATATCACCAGGTAACAATGTTGTTCCTTGGGATAAGAATGCAACCGTCTCTGCCACGCCAAATACCATATCCCTTGTGTTTGAATCCTGCACGGTTTTCCCATTCACCTTTGTTGATATCCGTAAGGCATTCGGGTCCGGTATAACTTTTGAAGTTACGATTCCGGGTCCAAAGGGAGCCCATCCATCGAATCCCTTGCCTATACCCCACTGGCTGCCTCCACGCTTGATCTGCCATTCCCTATGAGACACATCATTGCCCACAGAGTAGCCCAGCACGTAGTCCAACGCCTTTGACTTCGGTACATTATGAGCCTCTTTCCCAATGACAATTACCAGCTCGCATTCATAGTCCAACCCTTCACATTCCTGGGCCATTGGAGGGACAGGTATGTCATCAGTCGGTCCACTCGCGGCTGTGACTGGTTTAAAGAACAGAACAGGGTATTTTGGTAGGGGCATGTTTGACTCTTTGGCGTGTTCAGCGTAGTTCAAGCCTAAACATCGAACAGTCCTGATGTCATTGCGAGCAAGTGGACAAAGCAACTTCTTCACCTCCTGAATTTGATCCGTAACCTGATGATTACCGAATATCTCTCCCTTGATGACCCTGGCTTTGGTTATTTGGGCAATATCAGTAACGCCTGAAGGTAGAATGGCATCTCCGTGGTACACCAGGCCGTCTTTGGCAAGGAAGCGGACGAGGCGCTGAAGACTTTACGGTTAGACCCATCTTAACATGTAACTAGGGATTGTCTCACAGAGAATGCAGGCATATTTGCGGTTTCAGCACCGTCTCTTGTTAGATTGGTGCTAGAAACATACAAGAGTAAATCTATCTCGACATCAACATCTATCAATCAAGCTGAGACGGAGTTATGACCGAATTGCCGAACGGTTGGCTTAGTAATCACGATGAGAAGTTTCGAGGAAAATTATACTTCCGCTCCGAGGGTAGCTCCCGGCCCAGAGGTCGCGTAAACAGTTTTCGATGTCTGGCAAAAGCTCGGGAAAGAGAGGAATAAGGAGGCCATTTCAGATACGTGGGGGGCAATGCGATTCTCAGGGTTGCAGCGGGAGGTGCTGAGCCTATACCGCCAGTGCTTCCGGGAAATTCGTAAGAAGCCTATTGTGAGTGACTCCTACTCCTAACGTTGGGCGCGTTCTGATCATGAAGAAATATAGGCTAACTCCTGGTGTCACAGAATTCGCAGAGTAATTTCAAACAGCTCGCCAGGTACGCCCTTCTCCTTGGCCGTTGAGACGACATGGATCTGTTGCATCGTTCTCCCCCGATCCCGTCAAAGATTCACTCGCGAGAATGACAAATTTCACAGCCCCCTTCCTAACAACTAGCCTAGAGATGAATTTCGGAAGAACATAGGCATCAGCAAGAAGGATTTCTCTGCCATTGAATTCCTACTAAGGAAAGGCCACCGGCAGCTAGAGATGTACTCTTCGCCAGCTATCCGAAATGTTACGAGGTGACATTAGATACCAATCACGGACATAGAGTCGCAACTAAAGATGAATTCAAGCTCCCCAGGAGCCTCTTCAGCAATACCTACACCTTAACTCCTAACATATTGATATCCTCCACCTTCGCCTAAGTATAAAATCTATATCACGTGATTCATACGGGTGTACGTTTATCCGGCAGCCTCAAAGTGGGTCTCGGGGACGTTCGGAACCTTCAAAGGTCGGAATGCGCTAGAAGCTTCCGGAAGCTTAGCGAGCCTTGACGAACCTGTTTTTGGAAAGCTTGGGAAGCAACGCGAAAGCTCAAGCAGGATTGAGCATCCCGAAGCACCTTGGAGGCGATTGCTAATGGAGGGTATCTAGGAGAATCCCGTAACTTCTAGCACAATGGCTTCGGTCTATATAAACGATCAACTTGTCGATGGAAATGGTTTTCCCTTTCTCATCACAGACAAACACAACAACTCGACTACTCTATGCTATACAGGAACAACAGCCTTCAATCCACCCTGAGAAACATTCGAACTCCAAAGCCGACTCTACACAAAGTCAGCAAGATTCCAGCCTCAAGAACCTTTATCAACCTCGCACCATCCAGCCACACCAACACAATGGCTTTCTTCCCACGTCTCTCTGGTGGTGAATTCACCCCCCTTTTCCGTCTTTTGGACGACTACGATGCCCACCGATCATGCACTTCTGATAACAGCATTGCTCGATCCTTTGCTCCAAAGTTCGATGTGAGAGAGTGCAAGGATGCCTATCATCTCGACGGAGAAATTCCCGGTGTCAACCAAAAGGATATCGATATTGAATTCACCGATTCTCAGACACTCGTTGTTCGCGGCCACGCTAAGCGCGAATACTCCACTACCAATGTAAACGCCGAAGAGACTGCCCCTGCAACCATTGCAGATGCACCGGCGTCTTCCCACCAAGCAACTGTTGAAGACGAGGAGGAGCCAGCCACTGCCTCACCACCCGGTTCGCGCCCTTCTTCTCCAGCCAAGGACAACAAAGTCACCAAAGCCAGCAACAACCGTGCTGTGAAGAAGTCTGCTTCTCCTGGCTTTAAGTACTGGATGACTGAACGCTCCTATGGCGAGTTCAACCGTGTCTTCAAGTTCCCATCCCGAGTCGACCAGGATGCAGTCAGCGCCAGCTTGAAGGATGGCATTCTCCGTGTCAAAGTTCCCAAGGCATCTGCGCCAACAGTCAAGAAGGTCAACATCGCATAAATGATGGGCTATATCAGCCTCTGCCCTTATTGATGATGCCTACGATCTGTCGATTTTCCTAATGATGACTATGCGAATTTGATGAGTCTGGTGCTTTTCTGTACTTTCTGCGCTGTATTTCTACTTGAGTTTTGTTTCCTTGGTCCGATTGCTTAAAATGTCTTCATACCAACAAGTTGTTTGATAACTAGTCTTGAATCAAATTGTTTTTTTCAATAAACAATATTCCTCTGCGCAAGCAATACACATATATTCATACAGCTATTTTTCCGATAATACTATTATGTAACGGGCAGCTTCCCTGGAGTTGTGTTATGTGTACAAGACAATAAGAATTGTACATATACCCCGAAAATGAAGTAGATGATTAAAAAGATCCCAAACGAAAAAAAATGCAGTGAATGACTTAAAACACCAGTAATTAAACCAAAGTACAAATACCACCCACCCCCCTTCCCGACCATGAGCGCTGAAAAGGATCAAAACGTTAAGAAATAAGGACGTAGCCTATGAACAAAGGATTGTTGTGTGGTCATTAAATTCGTGACGGATGTATCATATGAACATGATAAACGATGGTTCTGCTTGGGGTATATGTAAAGCGAGTGTAGCAGCGGGGTATATATATATATAGATAGATAGCGAGGGTCATATAGGCAACGTAACAAACAAGGGAGGGTAAATAGTAGACAAAATTAAAGGTATTTGCATGCTTTTAGGTGTTGGTGGAAAGGAAATAAGAAAAAGGAGAGTTTGGTATCATAGAGTCAAGGAGATATTCAAATATAGCTTTCGATATGGTTTAATGCACCGGGTGTCTGTGCCTGAGCAGCGCAGGATGAAGATGAGCCCCTTGCCAACCGATTCGAACGGTCTTCAGTCACGGTTGTTTTGGGCGGGGGCATGCGATATGATGTTGGGGGTGGGCCGGAGTGATGTTTCGCTTTTCGAAATTTACGATCGGAGAAGACATCGCGGACCGGCGTAGAGTATCGATAACTGGGCTTTTCGTTGACGCTGGAAGTGAAGCTGAAGTGAGATGCGCTTCTGTGTAGCTTGCTGGGCTGCCTGGTCGGCTGGTTTATCGACTCCTGAAGGGACTTTCTAGGCTGATAGTCGTGGAAGGCGGATTTGTTAAGGTCTAGGTTCAGCGGGAGCAGCTCAAGATCTATATCTGGGTCGGCGGATAGAGAGCCCCACAGGTTGCTGTCTATTTCCACGGGAGTGTGGTTGTCGATGTAGTTTATCAGGTCGGCCGAGCTGGAGTTGGTCATCAGTTTCAGGTCTCCCATAGAGGTCGAGCGGGAGAGCGGCGGTGTGAGCATTTGCGCGGTTGGAAATTGGAAATCTCGTGGCTGTGGGAGCGCTGGGAGAGGTTTGTCCTTGTCGATATTCCTTGAGGGCCGGGAGGAGGTGGCGTCTGAAGCCGATCTGGCGTGAAGCTGGGAGGCAGAGGGTGGCTTCCCCCCCGTCATACGTGCGGGAGTCGAGTCTCGGTGCCTTTTACTTATTGTTTTGGTTGTATTGCTACGATTTGCCTGGTGCTTCTTGACCGGATGGCTGTGGAGAGTATGGGACCTGGTTGTTCGTTCTTTGCTAGAGTGGCCCCCGGAAGAATGGCCTTTAGCATGGGCCCTGGTAGGAGTATTATGGCGTTTAGGAGAGGGTTCCCTTGGAATATCGATAGCAAGGCCTTTAGGGGAGGGGGGCTTGTACTGGGTATGCTGACTATCCGACCGCCCAGTGCGGCGAGATACCGTTTTGGCCTGGCGGAACCGGGGTGGTATCGGGGGCGGGCGAGAAGGCTCATATCTGACTCTAACGGGATACGTTGGGTCTAGGTTATACTCCGACAAGGCATCCGCATTGGGCTCGGAATGGGTCTCCTGTGGCTGCTGTTTGGGCGGTTGAGCTTGGCTTGTATACCGCTCAACCGGGTACCTGAGATGGGCTGGAGGCCAGGGAAAGACTGCGTTTATAACCTCCTTGTTTCCATGGGAGGTTATTGAGATGGTACCTTCGACCGGGTCGTTGATACTTCCGTTACAGTGGATCAAAGCCTGGGATGAGCCTCCGTCGAACACGCGGCAGTTTCTGTCTCTCGAGCTCCTCCTTCGCGATGAGCCATGGAGGTGCCTCGAGGTGGATTTCCCCGAGGCAGAGCTGTAGCCGCTGTCGGTCTTGTTCAGGGCGCCAGAGCGCTTGCTGGAAGCCTGCCTGTCCTTCTTCGCCTCCTGCCGTTCCCTGCTTAGGGAAGAATGGAACTGAGGGTCGTGAAAGCTCTCGTGGGACTGGACGGTGTCGTCCCAGTAGACGGGTATCTCCATCCCTTCATCTTCGAAGACGTTCTCGTGTTCGCTTCTCTTGAATAGGCAACATGGACGGGCGTTGGCTGGATCGATGGCGGGTGAGAGGCCTGAGAGGGCTGATTCCGGGCTGCTAACGCCTGCGGCGAGTAGGGCAGTCATCGAACCAG